CATTATACAGTGCTGTGTCCAGAATTAAGCAGAAAGGATTCGAAAAATGTTGGAGATACTACCGAGTTCTATGATTTCTGTGGAGTCATTTTCAAAAATTATATGTTTAAAAACTGTCTTATCTGGAGTCCAACATAAAAGAACATTAAACTATATAACAGCATCGTTGGACGACGGCTCACACCGATCTTATATATAAAAAAATGAGCTTGCAGAATTGAAACTACCTCTCTTTAGGAAAAAAATGTTATTGCAAAGACTTTTTGGCGCAGGGAAAACTGCAAAAGCAATTCATTGCAGATATGATGCGCAATTAGAAATCCTTAAAAAGAAATTTGGTTGCATGGCATCGATATTGGATAAGCCAGTGATTCGTTCAAGGTTGCCAAGTGTTTCAGATTCATAACTGTTTGAAAAGCTTTCCGCAGAAGGAATAATTTTATCGGGCGTTGAGTCAGGTGAACCACCTAATACTGGGAGTTTCAAAAACTTTGAAATCAGGGATTTCTGCTCTACATACCAAATTTGGATGGTGTATCCTAGGCAGAAAGAAATCGGAAGGAATATTGTAGCCTTAAGTTGATTAATTGTAGAGGTACAAAAAATGTGGGATCTGGAGTCCTTAGGAATAACCGATCCGATTGCAATCAAAACTATGAAAGTTTTGGATGAAGAAACTTTGTGTCATTTCCAAAAAACGATAACCTTTAAATTAGATCAACGGTATGAAGTGTCATTACCTTGGATTATGGGACGCCCACCTTTGTATAATAATTTTGATACCGCTAAGGCAAGCCTACGTATCGTTTCTAATCGGTTAAAAAGGACAATATTTTGGAAGCTTATAATATATTTTTGCAATGGCAGCAAAAAAGCATAATTGAAGAAGTAAAGGAAGTTAATACTCGTACTGATCGAATTATATTTTATTTGCCACAACGCCTAGTAATTAAAATGTCTAGTGCTACTCAAAAAATCCGGCCGGTTTTTTATTCGCCTTTAAAGACATGGATGCGCGGCTCTTAATGATTGCTTGGATACTGGAGAGTCTCACACAATGGATACCACCCTTATTATACAGGTTTAGAATTGGAAAGATATGAATAATTTATAGATATGAGTTTTGTGAAGATATTGTGCAACAGTGGAAGCGTATATACACAGCTGGATAGTTATTGGACTCACTTCAAGACCTTTTTTACTAAGTGTCAGCTTTTTATTTCACTTAAATTGGGAAAAGTTTCAAAGAGAAGACTTCCTGTCCACTGTACAAGTCTTAAAAGAAGGTTCTATATTGATAACTTACTCGCGAGTGTTGGGAATGAAAATGAGTTTCAATTATTGCAATATCGAACAAAAGAAATAATGGAAATGGGAGGATTTGATTTACCTTTTTGGTCATATACGAGAGGGAAAACATAGTTATCACCAAACGCAAATATCGTACACAATTACAAGACTATTCGGCCCGACTGGATTACTAGGGCCAATGATAAGGGCCAAGAATATTCTTCCAACGGTTTTCGTTAAAGCTAAACTGGGATAAACCACTGCCAAAAAAGGAAGCCGGAAAAAGAAGAACTGGAAGTGTTAAGAAAAAAGTTGAAAGCCTTATTCTTATTGCAAAAGCAGATTAGGTGGAACTTCATAGATTTGCCGATACTTGCGAGGCATCATAATAAGCAGCAATATGTTGCAAGTCGCTTTCGAGAGATGGCGAATTAGACTAGTAAATCCAGAGTATCAACCTATAAAACAAGTCACTATTCCCACGTGTGGCAGCAGTCTCATTTGCAAGGTTAATGACTAGAGTTATACCTGCATTAGAGAGCTTTGTGAAAAGGTGTATCTCTGGAGTGAATCCATAATTGTACATTCTTCGTTGTAAAGGAAGCTTTATCAGTTGAGGGCATTTGTCGAAAATCGAGTGGCAACAGTTCAAGAGCTGACTAATCATAATCGATGGCTTCGTATGAGAATGTTTCCGGATGTGAGAATCGTGTCCTTATATAAGAATCCCAGTGATCGTGTATCCTGAGTCCTAGACCCAAGTAAACTTTTACAAAATGAGATGTGGTGGGAAGGCCCTTTGTTTCTGAGAAACAACGTGTATCCAAATAAAGAAATTCCTGTTGAAGTCATTGTGAAAGACTTCCTTGACGACCTTAAAACCTCTAGTGTCTTTACTGTTTCACTTAATTTGAAAGTTAGTCCCTTCGTTGAAGATTTTTTTTTTAAATTTAAGTACACTAAAATTAATCATGTTTTTAAGTTTTATTTTTTAGGTTTGTTAACAACTAAAAGGGAAAGAACAAAGTTCCCGGCCCTCTGTAGAGTTCTGAAATAAAGGCGGCAGAGCTAAAACTTAAAAATATGCTTCAAAGCAAGAAATCTCAAGCATTTAAAAGGAAGGAAAGGGATAGCAAGGTAATAAGTATAGTTACGGATTTTGTATTTAGTTAGCTACTTTTAGTAGAATTATTATCAAAATTGCCGTGCAATGCAGCATAAGACATATTTTAACAGAAAGCTACGCCGGAAAAGTAAAAATACAGGAGCAAGTGCATTTAACATTTAAAAAATAAATATATCGTAATTTATATTTAAACCGAATAAATGTGATTGATTACTGTGTTAGCTATAACCGTAATTTTCTTTTTTAGCTTTCCAGAAATCTTGAGGAAACAGAAATTACCAGAACTTTCTCGCTACCGATTAAAAAGCTGGAGAGAGACATCTTATTTCAGTTGTTGTTTAATGAGCTATTATTGTTGATTGTAGCGAATTCGTGGCGAGATCGGATTAGCTCTCTCTCTTTGCATTGCGTTATATTCTAACGTTTTTATTAGTTTGGAGAATAGCCACTGATTATATTGCGTGATATTGTACGCTTGTACGAATATCTCTGAGGAAAATCCAGCGTTTTGTTATATTTCTTGTGATAAGAATACATTTTATAAACTTTTTATCGGACTTGTGCCAATCTGTTACGAACGCGTACGCACGCCACATTTTTTAGGGTCAGAAGTGGGATTGAATGCCAGTTACAAGAGCGATGGAAGAATAGTTAAGGCAATTGGTATCAGTCTTTGCTGCGTTTCAAGAAAAAATGGAAGCTTATCAAGAATCAGTCAAAGGAGAAATGAAAGCCGTTCGAGAGAAGATTGAAGCAGGTCAAGAAGAAATGAAAAGAGAAATTCCCCTGCGTAATTAGAAAACAAATTCGAAGCTATGGGAAATAGATTAGAAGTGGTTGAAAATAAAGTTGGACAAATTGAAGAAAAAGTTTCTTCTGTCAAAGAACAAATAGAAGAGAGAGTTTCTGCTCTGGAACAACAAATCGATTGCAGAGTTTGTTCTGTGAAAAAACAAAACAAACAACCCATGCCTGTTCATCCTCTCTGATGTTATCCACATACGGTGGGAAGACTTCTCGGCAATTGTATAAGACACAATTCCGTCAAGAGAAGCCCACGGAAACATTCCAGAAGCTGGCCACGGATGTTGAAATCTCGCCTTTGCGGAATACCTGACAGAAACAAGAGAAATCCTGTCCCTGCAATACTTCATCGACGGCATCCGGGATCCTGAAATACAGAACGCTGTACGAATGGCAGATGTCAAGGACTTAAAAATGCTCTAGTGTACGCCACGAGATTCAAGGCAGCCCAGCAAGCACCTCGTAGAACTCACCACCTAATCAGAGCTGCTGTAGTCCAAAAGCCAGTGGATGAAAGCCAAGAAACCAACCCTAAAGTGCTGGAACTACGTTGCTGAAGGGCACATACGAAGAAACTGTAGAACACCCCAGGGCACGTATATTAAGACCGCTCCCATCAAGGAGTAGAGGAACTAATTAGTGGCTATCACGCGGGGCGGAGGTTGCCAGATAATAAAATGCCCCAGTTTAAAGCGCTTCAGATTTCTTCAGGCGGCAGCAATGGACTTTTCATAATGGGACATCTCAATGGAATGCCTTGCAATATGACTATCGACGCAAGAGCCATTAGAAAAGATTTGGCGCAACAATTCAAAGATAATCTCATCTGGACGCCGCCTGCATTACCGTCCAGACTGTGTCTCGTGATAAAATGACACTGATGGAAATTAAACGTTAACATCATGTTTGGAAGCGCCCCCTTCCATCACACGGCATATGTGGTAGAGATTACAGATGCATACTTAGATTGGACTTTCCAAGAAAATACAATTTTTCTTTGGACTTCAAAAATAACGAACTGCATACTGCCTCTGAGGACATAACTCTATTTGCAATTAATTGCGAAGAAGTTAAATCTGTCCATCAAATCATAGCTCAAGACGATATCATAGTACCAACAAGAACAGAATTTCTTCTTCCTGGATCCATAACCGAGAACAGAGATTTCCGGTATGGTGTATTGGAATATCCCAAGAACTGTAACAGCTCGAAAGAAGTACTAGTAGCCTCAGCACTCGTTGACCTATCGAAATGTTCGAAAATTCTCACCAAATTTGTTACCTCAAGAACTATTTATTACTCAGAAAATAACTCTATATTTCTTTAGTTATTTATGACTCTACAATAATTACTTTACTCATACTCTCAAATGAGGAAAACAAAAATTACACTAACTCTCTAAAAAGAACAACATCACAGTATGTTGCCATTCTTTGAAACATAAACTGTTACAAAACATAGATAATAATAATATAAATAGATAATGAATAAAAAAGCCTATAGAGTAAAGAAAACGATTACATCTGCTTGAAGCTCGTGCAATATTACTCAAAAGCTGCAGTTAGAAAAAATATAAACAAAAATATTAGAGTCAAAATATTGTTCACCCTCCCATCTTGCAATATGAAATTCGGGATTGAGTATTGCAAAATAATAAAAAATTAAACATTGTTCTCACAAGTCCAATCGATGAGGAACTTTAATTGTCCTTCCTGATTTGTTTATCGTGGGCGATTTTAAATGGGTATGGATTATTCTATTTGTTTCTACAGGTACATCATCAATTGGAGTTTGCTCTACCCGAAATATTTTCGCATCGTTGACTTCCGCTGAATTTCGATGGAAGTTCCTCGGCAGTCGATAATTCCAAAGGATAAAGATTTTGTACAGCTCTTATGACTTCTCCATTTTGCACTTTAATTCTGGCTCGTCGACTTTCACCGTCGGTACCTGGAAATAATTGTATGATTTTACCAAGAGGCCAATTTAATCTCCTTTTGTCATCGCTTCCAATTAAGACAATGTCTCCTTCTTTTAATTTACAACTTCTAGCGAATTTTTTGCTTGTTGTTTTCAAAGTTCCCAGATATTCCTGGCGAAATCTTTTCTTGAAAACCTGGTTAACATTTTGGATATAACGCAATCTACGTTTATAAAAGTTAGAATTGAAGTCATGTTTCACAATTGGCACTGAATAGTTTTGTATTTCTCGTAAAAAATTTCCAGGTGTTATGGAAGTGAGACTTGAATCAGCCGATACAACTGTTAAAGGTCTATCATTTAGGATAGCTTCACAGTTACACAAAACGGTACACATTTCCTCATAACTAAGGCAGGCTCTCTTAAGAGCCTTTCTTAATATTCTTTTCATCATTCCTATGAGACGTTCCCACCAGCCACCCCACCATGGAGCGCCTGAGGGAATGAACTTCCAAATAATACGTTCATTAGCTCCTTTTTTTTGCAATTTCATTGAAATCGATTGAAGCAAGTGCATTGCATGCTCCAACAAAATTTGTTCCATTATCAGTATAAATTATGGATGGCTTCCCACGTCTAGCAGAAAAACGATGAAACGCTTGTAGAAATGTATCTGTCGTTAAGGATGTAACCAGTTCCAAATGAACACAACGGTACACTGCGCAAGTGAATAGGCAAATCCATGCCTTCTTGTAGTCTCTTAGAAATATAGGTCCAGCATAATCTATGCCGGTTATTTGAAACACTGAGGCATCCTGTACCCGATCTCTAGGAAGTGGTGGCGCTGGTGGGTTAACATTTTTGTTTGAATAACGCTTACAGGTTATACAAGTTTTCAAAACGGATGACACAACTCTTCTTCCAGCTAATATCCAAAATCTTTCTCTTAAGGAATTTAGGACGTGAGAAACTCCAACATGTCCTTTCAACTTATGTTCTTCCATTATTAAACTTCTTATAAGAGGATGATCACTTGGCAAAATAGGAGTTCAGAACTCAGATGTATTTTCTCTTTGAAATATCGCTGTTTTCTGATGATGAATGGATTAAGACTTAAAATCCGTTCATCTTCTATTCCATTAAAGGATTCATTTTGTGTTAAACGAATCAAGATATTCTCTGCTTCATTTAACTCGGGTACGGTAAGTTCATCCTTTTTCTTGTTTTGATGTTTACAGTTGTAAACAAAACGACACATCCATGGTACCAGTCTGATTGTCTTACGATAACGTGAGAATCTAGTAGCAACTATTTCACTAGCATTAAGATTTATTAAGGACGAAATAATCCTTTTCTTTTTCTCAAGAGCTATTTCTTCTTCTTCTTCATCAGCACTAAAATCTTCTTTTGGCCATTTTTCTGGTGATAAATATAGCCATTTAGGGCCTTCCCACCATCTAGGATTTAATTAAATAAGAAGCAGAGCATCCTCTACTGGGCAAATCAGCAGGATTCAGTGATCCTGGTACGTGCCTCCAAGGATTCAATAGAAGTCAGTCGCTTTATTTCCTTAATTCTGTTGTGAACAAATACGTCCCATACTTCATTTCTCTGTATCCAAGCTAGCACAGTAGACGAATCTGTCCAAAAATAAATATCATCAGCTTGAAATTCAGGTATTATGCTGGATGCTAAACGTGCACATATTGTAGCTCCAAGAAGTTCCAATCGAGCTATTGTTGTCTTTTTCCTTCCGCTGGGTGCAACTCTCGCTTTAGCTTGCACCAAATGAACTTGAACCGAATCTCTTGTTTGTACTCGAACAAAGGCCACAGCTGAATATGCAAGTTTACTCGCATCACTGAAGAAATGAAGTGAGATATTTTCAATCTCACGATCACAGTTTAACCATCTTGGTATTCTCATTCTTTCCAGACACTGCAAATCATTCAAACCATTTACAAAATTGTGATTTTGAATTTGAATCAACTTCTTGGTCCCAAGATAACTTAACTTCCCATAGGTGCTGAAGTAAAAGTTTCGGCACAAGAGTTACGGGGCAAGCTATTCCTAAAGGGTCGAATATTTTGTGTGTAGTAGCTAAAATCTCTCTTTTAGACAAAATTTCTGGTAGACTGTAGGTGATGTTAGTAATATTAAGGCAAAGGTAATCTCCACATCGTTCCCAAATCATTCCTAATACATTTGTGGTACTAGAGGAATTATCTGTTGGGTCACTATATTCCCAACCACGTAATTCTAGCTTTCTTGTAGCTAAAGTATCTGAAGCAACTTGTATGAATTGTTGCAATTCTAAATCATTTTTCACACTCACTCGCTAAACAATTATCTACATAAAAGCTCTTTCTTCAATTGCTCAATAATATCCACTTTATACTTTGGGTTTCCATTTAGTTGTTTCAAAGTGGATTCTAGAAGATGGTGAATTACAGAAACTAGCAAGAAAGGGCTGCTTGTAACTGTAACTCCAAATACTACCCTACAATGCCTGTAATACTTCAGTTTTCCATCAGTTCTATACCATAAGAATCTTAGATAGTCTTTATCCTTAGGGTTGAGACTTATTTGTAAGAATGCTTTTCGTATATCTGCAGAAACTCCTATTCTGTTCATTCGGAATCTATGAAGAATTGAAGGAATCAGTTCGATAAGGTTCTGACCTTTTTCTAGACAATCATTGAGACTAGGGGATCCTTTTTGTTTGGCCGAGGCATCAAACACTGGCCTGATTCGTGTAGTACTGTTTTCTTTTACTACGTGTCGATGTGGTAGATAATGGCATGTTACATCAATTTCGCTTTTTGGTACTTCTTCTATGATGCCTTCTTGTTCCCATTCACTAAAAACTTCTCCATAAGCATCATAAAGTTTCTCAGCTTTTAGTCGTTTTACTGTAGAAGCTAATCTCTTTACAGCTAAGTCATAGTTATCTTTTAACGGTAGATGGTTATCAAGCCATGGCAAGCTGACTTGAAAACGTCCTCTTCGTTCACCTGTACAGGAAATGATCTTGTGCTTCTTCTTGAAGTTCCACTTTACTTTTCTTCTCTGATGGATCTAGAATTCCAAGTGAATCTAGAGACCATAGATCAGATATCAATATTTTCTTATTCAACATGGATGTGACGAGCAGTGTGGAATTGTCCAAGATCTCACGCATACCATTTTTCCCCAAAAAGAGTCCAACCAAGTTTTGTTTCTATAGCAGCAAGGCCTGAAGTAAGCAATTTAAATCCTCCGGTCATCAACTTACCTGCAATGTCAGCGCCAATAAGTATTTCTATTGGTCCATTAGTATCGTCGCATACGGAAATATTGTTTTGTTTAAGCTCTCGAATCCACTCGCCATTAGCAACTGGTGGTATACTTCCACAAATAATATCTTGGCTAAGAGCTTTGAAGTTACAATGATAAGTTCCATCCGTTTTAGACAAGAACACTGCAAAACATCGTGGTTTATGACATCAGTACATGACCCGCCAAATAATGAATGGCTCAATCTTTTTTTAGATGTACTCTCAAATTTCATTTCATCTCTGCAGTGCTTTTTAAAATATAAGATCTTTGTGAAGCTGAATCGATAATAGCACGGGCCTGGCGCTTTCTATCTCGCCCTTTCAATGTAACCGTTAAAGTTTGCAAAAACACATTTGTTGTTCTCGCCAAATTGGCGAGGGTTTCATCTCGTTCAGGTACTGCATCCGTATTTTCATCCTTATTCATGCTAACAGGAACTGGAGATTTTGATTCAGCTTGGATATTTCTACATAAAAGTATGTGGTGTTTCTTCCCACAAATCACACACGATGTTCGTTTTTTTACATTTAGCTATTACATGTTTTCTGTCTAAACATAAAAAGCAACTGCGACTATTTAGAACTGCTTTTTGCCTTTCCTCAGACGTCATCTTTCTTGCTTTAAAGCAATCACCAGATGCATGATTTCCAGCACAAAAAATACATCCAGTTGAATTTTGTTCAGATGTTGCTATTAGAGTAGAAGCAGAAGGTGGTTTGGAAGCCAAAGTGTTTAGCATTCCCAGGCTTAGGTGTCTGATATTTAGTAAAGCACTGAGTAGCTATATTCTCTCTTCACCTTCAATTTCATCGAGCAAAAATGAAAGCAAACCATCTAAATCCATGCGATGTGTTGACGCATTTTTCTCTTTTTGCTCACTACTTTCAGATTCTCTTTGACTGCGATTAATAACTCGGAATTTTTGCCATGCTCTTAATGTATCATCTGGCAATGACGATTCGACTAGAGGATATAACATCGCCGCATATTTATCTCTACTCTAGCAACACCCAGAACTTCTAACGCTCTTAAGTTTCGATTTTAAGTTATCATAGAGTTTTCGTAAGGAAAATTTCTGCTGAGAGTTTTTTAATAATACTAACGAAAGTAGATCTCTAACATAGACTTCTATAAGAAGGTCTTCTTTCCCAAAACGCGATTGCAGTTGTTCTAAAGCTTTACTATAACTTTCGCCACCGGGCGGAAAGCTTTTGATTAACTCTTCAGCAGATGACCCTTTTTCCATAGACTGCAATAAATATGCAAATTTATCATGATCATCTAAATTGGGATCATTATCGATCTTTTTAAACTGGCCCCAAAATCCTAACCAGCTTTTAATATTCCCATCAAAAATCGGAAGTTTAAGCTTAGGATAACATATAGTAAGTAGCATTTTGAGTTAAGCTTTCATTAACAACAGAACCGTTTTCATTTTCAGCTAGAAGCGAAACTAATTTAGGGGTCTAGTCTGGACACCTGTCGAGATCGATATCGGAAAACCAGTCGGGATTCTCTTTCCATTTGACACCCCCCGGGGGTCGACGTAGAGTACTCTGCGCAGTACTGGCTAGGATCTGTACCTAGGCAGTCTCGGCCACGGGGGTATAAAATTTCTGAACTTCGCGATTTCCGATGGTCCATGGGGTAGGTTTATACTTGCTCTTCATGGGCCGGGAGGTGTAAGTCCTCATCCACCAGGGTATTGGTAGCCAAATAGCAAACTGGACCATTGAGAGTCCGGTCACTGCTGTCCTTGGAATTCCATGTAAAGCCTAAGGAGAGGGGCATCCCGCGTAGTGCTGGCAGGTAGCCAAATTAACGGCCAGTCATCGCTTCAAGTTGTCATCACCCACCCCACCGTGGTCTCGGGCCAGCCGGAACGGTGGTCTTGACTGGTCCGTGTTTAGCGGTGGGTTTGCTGTTCGTTGAGCGTTCAGCGGTTGGAGCCAAAAATGGTTGGTGTCTCGGGGATGTGGGACCCTGGGCCCAGCAGGTGTGTTTAAAGTCATCTCGAGTGACTGTTTCTGGTTTGATACCAGTCCCCGAATGTGATTTAGTTCACGGGCGGTGGTATAGACTACAGTTACAGTTTCCATTCGACAGCAAACGGGAGAGCGAGTCTGACCCCTTCAAATTCCGTCGGCGGAAAATGAAGTGGAGATTCTGTGCGGAAGTGACGTTTATTGCATCCAGTCTGTCTCACCTCTACATTGCTCGAGGCTCAAGGAAAGGGGGGTAGTTTGTTGTCAAAAGTGCTGCTTAGCACGTGCTTTTCAATGAGGATGGCGGTATCAAAAAAAATTACCAATAAGTTAGAGTAAATGGTGAAATTTTTCGAAAAACTCTGCAGCTGTTAAGTGATAAACTTGATAGAACATTTAGTAAAGAGCACAGAAAAAAGAAATGGAAAGAGTCAATGGATATTTTACACAAAACTGCATAAGTGAAGAGCGTAAGCATAATTTTACGTATGATCTTTTGCAAAATGGAAATTTTCTAAAAGGTTACATGTTTGTAAACTATTTGTTAACAGTTTTATGGTTAAAATATTTTTTGTCTTAAAAGGTTATGTAACAGTGTCCTAAATCAAATCATTAAAATATAGCATCGCGTACGCGTGTTTAATATTCCTATTGAATTTGAATCAAATTTTTTTTAAATTTTTAGCAGCCCATGATTATATCAATAATTTTATTTATTCAGGAATTATACTTATCACGTAGCTACAAATATACCATGTATCGAAAATACCAATAAGCAGAAAACTTTGGATTGATGCATTAAAAGACGATTTACTAGTGAGTAAAAATATAAGAAATTTTTAACAAAAGTAATGGGAACGAAAATAAAAATAATTAAATAACTATAGGTTAAATCACAAAACATATCATCTTGCATATAAATGCACACACATAAACATATATATATTATATAAAATGGAAGGGAAAATTGCATAACAGTTGCATATTAAGATAATGGAAAGATTTTTCTGTTTATATAAATGATTTCTGGCATTCTTCCGTGTCAGTAGGTGCAATTATAGATACGTGGGTACCATCCTACAGCGCTGATGACACCAGAAAATCCAAACTTTTGACTGAATCGTAATTTGATTTTGTTTTGTTGAAAACTATGTAAATTTATCTATTTGGTGAAAATACCAGAACAAATAGCATATGTAACCTCTCAAATGCACCAACTTGACATTTATTTCTCAGCCCAATATATCTGTCATTAACAATATATCTCTGGTAACTTTCAGAAGCAAAACAATTTAAGGCAAACAAAACTTGTTTTGAATAAATAAATAACCATAATATATATATATAACTGTATTATAAATATATCAACATATGCAGTGAAAGGAAATTGTAGTACATATTCCTATTTATACCCTTTTTAAATCGATCTCACCAGCGACCGTGAGGTAAAATCGCTGAACACTGGTAGTTCTGTCCGAGGTCCGAATATCGCGAACGGGTTGGCTGCATTACCAACATATCTCTAATAACCAATATATCAATGTATCTGTCATTATTAATATATTTCTCATTACCAACATATTTCTGGTAACTTCCAAAAGCATAAAAATTTAAGGCGTACAAAACCTTTTTTAAATTAATAACTATATACATATATAACTGTATTATACATATATCAGCATATGCAGTGAAAGAAATTGCAGTACATGTTTCTATTTATACCCTTTTTAAATTGATCCCACTAGCAGCCGAGCGGTAAAATCTCTGAACACTGATAGTTTGGAACGAGGTTCAAATCCCGCGATCGGGCTTGCTGCATGGGCTTCATCACAAACATATTTCTCGTAAATTCCAAAAGCATAAAAATTTAAGACATACAAAACCTGTTTTAAATAAATAATTAATGTTTTATAAATATATTAACATATGCAGTGAAAGGAAGTTGCAGTACACATTCCTATTTATGCCCTTTTTAAATCGATCCCACTAGTGGCCAAGCAGTAAAATCTCTGAACACTGGTAGTGCGGTTCGAAATTCGAATCTAGCGAACGGACTGGCTGCATGGGCCTCATTACCAACATATCATTGGTAACTTCCAGAAGCATAGAAGGTTAAGGCACGCAAAATCTGTTTTAAATAAATAAATGTATATATATATATATATATATAACTGTATGATAAATATATTATCAGATGCAGTAAAAGAAATTGCAATACATATTCTTATTTATACCCTTTTTAAATCGATCCTACAAGCGGTCGAGCGGTAAAAGTCCTGAACATTTGAAGTTCGGTGCAAGGTTGGAATCCCGCGAACGGGCTGGCTGCATGGGCGTTTTCGTGGTTTTCCCCATGTGTTACGTGTATACGAGCTAGTTTCCCTTAGAAAGTCCTCCACGAAGGCAACCCTCACTTTAGGCAGATAGCCCTCGAGGCTTTGCCGTAATTACATAAAATAAAAATACAAAACTGATGTAATATCTAAAAGCAGACCACATTAAAAAATCTGATAACTAATTATAAAATCTTGCATTATAATATTTACAAGAATTTAACCGAAAATTATACAGGAATTTAACTTGTTTTATACAGGAGATTTTGAAAACTGACATTCATATCAGTACAGTTAAAACTACTTAAATTATTTTTTTAACTCAAAGCAATTTAATGTAAATGTTGAATTTAGGATGTGAATAATTTGAATTATATACTACATATTCTTTAATGCACGTGTTAATGTATTAAATTTTTATATACTACAAATTAAAATAAAAGTAGAGGGAAATACATTATAATTTAAAACATAAAATTTATAAATTTATAAATTACTCATCCAAACATGAAATTAAGTACATTGATATATACATTAGTTGAAAAATTAAAATTTTAAATTAAAAGTATGCACTCCTTCTTTATATTTGAAATAGGAAAACACCAAATATATTATTTTCACTAAGGAATTGCTACTGTAGAATACATAAATAATCTAGAATCGTCAGCATCAAATGCGTTATTTCTATAGCGAAATATTCGAGTTTTTCACAAATCTTAAGAAATTAACATATCCATTAAGTACACTTCCAGAAACTATGCGCCGTCCTCACTTTAGCTCTAAAACGACAGTCAGAAACTTAAACGGCAGCTATCTAGCTGACAGAAAAATTTCCGACGCGTCGATCTCTGTAATGATCGAGACGATCGCAAAAAATGACCCCTTTTTCCATCTCGACGGTGTCCAGACTAGGGCCCTTACTTTCTACCATTCTTCACTTATCGATATAGCATTTCGACTCATCAAAATCGTTATTTATCACAGTTTCATTTTTTTCAATTTTAATCAATTCTTCTCTATAAGTCTGTTTTATTTCAATCATAGGTTTCGCTTTGTCTTCAACTAATTTAAGTTTCAAAATTTTTCCGTTTAAAGATAAATCATTTTCATTCTTCTCAAAATCATTTAAAGCTTTTGTAAACAATCTCCTAAACTGAGATCATTTGCACTTCAAAACATCTATTATAGATAAACGAAAGAATTCTACTTACAGATAACAGTCCAGTCAGCGAACGCCAAATGTTCAAAATTTCTCACCAAATTTGTTACCTCAAGCCATTAGAAAAGATTTGGCACAACAATTGAAAGATAATCTCATCTGGACGCTGCCCTGCATTACCGTCCAGACTGTGTCTGGTTATAAAATGACACTGATGGAAAATTAAACGTTAACATCATGTTTGGAAGCGCCCCCTTCCATCACACGGCGTATGTGGTAGAGATTACAGATGCATACTTAGATTGGACTTTCCAAGAAAATACAATTTTTCTTTGGACTTCAAAAATAACGAACTGCATACTGCCTCTGAGGACATAACTCTATTTGCAATTAATTGCGAAGAAGTTAAATCTGTCCATCAAATCACAGCTCAAGACGATATCATAGTACCAACAAGAACAGAATTTCTTCTTCCTGGATCCATAACCGAGAACAGAGATTTCCGGTATGGTGTATTGGAATATCCCAAGAACTGTAACAGCTCGAAAGAAGTACTACAGTCAAAAGTCGTTAATTCGGACACCCATAATTCGGAATGATCTATAATCCGGACCTCAAAGCTAAAACTTTCTGCGCATGCGCCGCGTTGACACATGCGCATAGGCGTTTACGCGTGCGTGTAAGACCTCTTACGACTGCGCATTTGCGTGTGCGCAAGCGCAGAATACGTTTTCGCGTGCGCGTTTTATGTATAACGGACGGTGTAAGCTAAAATTATCTAATTATCTATTTCAGTTAATGTTGATGATTGCGTTGTTCCTTAATTTTCGAATTGGATCTGGCTTATTATTTTTTGCAGACTGTAAGAGCAATACTATAAAAGTAAACTTGAACTTTCGATTATGTCAAATAGAATTTTTGATTCTGGAGCTCCCAAAGGATCGTACAAAACGAAAGTATGTTTCGATGTCCATCAAACAAAAAGTTTAAATGCTGCAAAAAATGGATATAATAAGGCATATCCTTTGTTTATCTAACCATTCCGAAATCTGTTTATCAATTACAGTTTAACAGGTACATTGGGCGTGGTGGTCCCTTCGCTTGGCCTACCAGATTCTCTGTCTTTTTTATGGGGTGCCATGAAGAGCCTTGTGTACACGAATATCCATCGCTGCTGCTAAGATCCGTGAAACACCCAGTATTTTCGAACATGTCCGAGATCCATTTCGCGTCAGTGTTATGCGTGCATACATGCCAATGGCCATAGTTTCAAACACCTCCTGTCATACTTTTTATTTATTATTTTTGTGCGTAATAAAGCATTTTACACTATATTCTGTGTTGTGGCCTTACTGTCTCTTTATCCCGTTAGGGTTACGTTTCCGCCCATACTTTCCGATGTAATTATGGCTCCTCACGGTGTTCTCTACCTCCCCCTCCAAGTTTGTACACGACATTGGGGGGCCACCCTGTATATGCTTTCCAACGTATTCCCTATCAAGTCCTTTAACATTTTACCTCTGCACTATTGAAACTCTGATCTCTCGAAAAGAGCTCATTCTAAGCGCAACACCACTTACCAGCCAGCTTTCATCCTGACTAAAGCCTCCCTGCTCGACCAATAGGAATGCTTCCTGCCTACTGACTCCATCTCGACGGCCAGCCTCTCGTCAGGACGAGCTCTGACTTTCACTGCCGAAGCACCACGCTACATTGACCTCTCTGCTTATCCTGAAGACCATCATGTTTATGATTACCTGCTGCAACCTACAACTTTTCAACCTTATTCCACTACGAAATTTTCTGCAACTTAAAAATTGCTTATCTCAAATACATCATTATAAGTTCAATGTTCGAAAACAGACTATTACTTCGATGGGGATAGGGCCTCCTGCCCAGGCGCCCGTTGAAATGAACGTTTGTTCAAAGACATGAGTTAGCTAAAGTTTGTAATCATCACCAAGCGTAATGTGAACATAAAGGGTTACCATGTTCTTTGGTATTCAATTAGATTCTAACCTCCTTGATGAAAGCCAAAAATAATAATGATTCTCTAGCTTGGCGTCAGTGCCGAATAATCAAGAATCGGTACTCTCCACAGGTTTTATTATGAACAACTGTCAAATTCGCAGGCGTAAAAACGCATTTAAAAATTTCAAAAAAAAAAAGTTGGTAATTCAGATGTCTGGATTTTAAATTATTCCGTATCCTGGACATCCGAATTTCGGACTTCATACTGTGTAAGTATTACGAAGGGATTTTTGTAACAAGAACAAATAATCGCCAGTGAACATATTAACTTTTAATTGATATTATTTTCCAAATTAAAAAGGTATTTTTAATTACTAATAAATTATATATGTATAAACATCTAATTTTCATACATGACTGTGATATTAAATTAAATCAAGTCTTCATTTATGAATTTAATCATTTTCTTTTTCAGCATAATGGCAGTATGCATAAATAAGCAATACATTTTCAACATTCAAATAGCAACTCACAGAACTGCAGGGGCCAGAGATATGATAATGTTGCATATATAAGAAGAAAAAATAAAGGCGTTCAAGGCACACTATCATGAAACAAAACCTATAGACATGGGGATGCCATAGCTTAAACTTGATGATTGGAGACTGTATAACAAGTTGGCTGGAATCCAGCCCCCTTTTTTTGGTACTGCATAGTATATCTATGTTTTCTTTTTTGCCTCTTCTGGGAGATGGCATGCACTGGAAAATCATGCTAAAACCTTTTACGTAAGACTAGATATGACAGCAAAATAGAATGTGTTCAAACAATAAAAAATGAAATCATGAAAATTTGGGAAGTTCTTTATGAACTTTCAGAAATGCAGATTCTGATCCTGTAGTATGATATGAAACAGAGACTCTTGTAACACAAATAGAAGATCATAGTTTTTTAGTGATGATAAATATCTGGTATGATGTCTAAGCCATGGTAAATGTTCTCAGTAAAACTATGCAGAATATTTCTGTGGAACTATCTACTGCAGTTTCATAAATGAACAGTATCACTGATTATTTAACTGATTTAACTGATTAACTGTAAATGTGATGAAAAAGCACTAGAGTTAGAAAAGAATTAGCTACAGTATTCACACATAGAGTCCATTTTTGAAACTGAAAGAATAAAAAAAAAGGAGGAGTTTTTTGAATATAAGTGCAGTGACAAAGTTCCAATTGCAGATAAATGAGAAAAAAAGATTTAAAAATGTGTTCAATGTAACACTGGACTGAGCTATTAATTCATCAGCGATATTTGATTATTACAAAGTTTCAATAAAAAATGGGGATTTTTAAATGACTTTAAAGATCTCTGTCAGATAAAATTAAACTCAAAACGGCTTGTCAAGTTTGAAGAGTAAGTACCAAGAAAATAGTGGTGTTGATGGATCTGATCTTTTGACTGAAATAGATACAGCCAAAGAATTACTTCCCGAAGATGTAAATCTTCCAATAGAAACTGCTAGATTTATAAATATTTATCAGTTACAAGATAGCTGGCCATATCTGGGTTGGATTTACTACAATACCTATTATTGTCTCCAGTAAACTTTATATGCTTTAGTAAAAGTTAATAAGTTTTAGTAAACTAAAGCTTAAAAATCACACATTTAGCTTCATCCCTACTTTAATTACTAATCATACACAGCCTACTTTAATTTTCAAGACAGACTGAATTCTTTGGCAATTTTGTATATACAAAATGATATTGTAAGGAAAATAAATACAGAAACAGAAAGTGAAAAAAAAATTGTAATAATGTTGATAAAATGTTTTAGATAGGTTAATTTTTCATATTGTGTAAATACTGGTTGAGAAAAACCCCATTGTTCAATATATGTTAAAAAGCAGTCAATTCTTTTCCATTTTTAGCCCAAAAGGGCAATTAGCTCAGAAGGGCTATTCATTTTGTTTTGCCATTTTGCGTCGCCCATAATAAAACAGCTTTTCACTTTTTGAATTATTGCAAACAAATATTAGAGCTCTGCATTAAAGAAATTAAATAATAAGAAATCTGCATGATGTATGCAAGTTCCTCACATTGTGAAAAACAACGGTACCTAGAGACATCAAATTTTGAGTAATGTAGTCCTCCACTAGAGGGCATTTGGAAGATCAAATTTAGAATTTGTTTTATTATCTATTTTATATTTTGTAAAACCTTAATAAACTCAAAAATGAGCTTTTTAGGGGGTGTAGAGTAGCAGCACACCCTGGGTAATGCTAAATCTGTTATGATATTCAGTATCTAGTGTTTTTTAATCCTAGGCAAAATTTCTTACTCTTTTATGTGCTTCCTAGCAATGCTCATTTCAGCACTCTTTTTGAACCTCTATTCAATCAGTGTGCCCACTTTGGGCAAACCCACAAAATTAAAACGTTAAGTGCTATCTTTACAAAATTTTACTTGTGTACTCCTCTAGGCCTAATTAAACTGCCGACCTTTTTTTTAATTGAAATTCCAACTTTAAAAGGTAGCGTGCCAGAAAGGTTAACAGCTAAAAACATGATATTTAATAAATACAGACTATACACAAAACATTAAAAAAAGCTCCTTTGGGCATAATATAAAATCTGAAAGCTTTCAGATTTTTCCCCTCCTTGTGAAATTTTTATAATCATACTTAAAAACAGACCAACAACTATAAAGCATCAAAGATGCTCGTAATTTCAAGAAACCCACATCACTGAACAGGAAAGGTCTTTGAGCTTTAGTTAACATGTTTAATAGAATAAAAAGAGCTCTGCATAACATAGAAGATATGAAAATCAAACCTAAGTCTGCAATGAAACAAGACAAAAGAAAATGGTCAATTTCTGCCAAATTATATCCTAGCATATTATTTATTCAATTACTCCTCTCTGAGGTAACAATATATGTTAGAAATGGTTTTAGAACTTGGACGTGGACCAATTTGATATTAAAACCATAGTTTAATCAGATGCAGTATTTCACAAGTACTGTATATGCCAAACACTTTACTCAGGGAAAAATAGTGGTGCAGTATTATAATGGCTGTATTTTAAGAAAAAATTGATTAAAAATGTCATGCCATATTACCTTGAAATGCACAATAGATACATTTTAGAATATATTTTGCAAAATATATGTCACTTATTCAGAATACATATTATTGAAAGTTGGTGTTTAATAAGCCAATTACTTTCTGCAACATTTTTAACTGTGTAAAAAATAAATGACTTAATATCATTGAACAGATTTTTGATAAGGTATTTATTTTGACTGATATATTTAAATCATGTACAGTTAGAAAAAATAATTAAAAGAAAATTCTTTAATGTTTTACAAAACATTAATTTACATAAATTTTTTAACATAAAATCGCATATATAATTTATAACTTAAAATTGTTGCATAAAATTCAATGGGCATTTTTTAAACATTTTATTTCTATACAGAAAGATTAAAATTTAACAAATAAATAGCATTTTCTTTTAGTTATAAAAATGACTAGAAATCTTTTAGCTATTAATTTATATCAATATATATACAAATAAATTTATAATTAGTATGCATGACAAATAAAATGACTAGATCATAATTTAAAAAAAAATGTGTTTAAATACATACACTTAATATGGAATTATCAATGACTATCCTTACTGCAGGAAAATAAATTATCCTAGCATTACATATAATATGTATGGAATGCCCGTAGTTATTATAATGATTAATAGAGAAGAAAAATTATTTTTTAAAAATCAATATATCTCTATTTTTAAAAAATTTTGATAATTTTTTTCATATTACCAAAATGAAATATCAATCAAATAAAACTCAAGTTTTGAAAAATAAATGTGGCGGTAGACTACACAGTATTTTACTACTCTATAACTTACATAACCTACATTTACAAAATGGCAACTATTAATTGAAAATTATACATTAATATTTGAAAACTAATTTGTTTTACATGAATTAAAATGCATCACAACATTATTTACAACTTTTAAATATATCAAAAGCTATCATAAAGTTTACTTTTATAACTGAGTATTTAATGTTTGTAAATACTTGGTTTAAATGATAAAAGCAAAATTGTTAAAAAAATATTTAAAGTGGTCTAATTTGTATACATACAGACATATGTCATTTGTGAATAATTTTTTAATTTTAAATTAAACAGCAAATATTCTATTATTTAATAACAGCACTTTTCTGTTAATGGACAACAATGAAAGTGAAGGCTTTTCTTAACAGTAGGCTATTTATTCATGACTAAAAGAAAAGTTATTGTGTGCATATATTGAAACACATTTTTGTAACATGAATATGAAAAAAATTATATATTTCATTTTGCATGCTCACATGTAATACTTTGATTAACAATTCATTCAATTAAATAACCAAAATATATTATGTAAGTAAAAAATCGTAAATGCATGTGTTGTTATATGGCTTCCCCATACACACATTTAAAAAAAATAAAAAAAAAAACTACTAGCGATAAGTTTCTATAATTTCTTTGGGGGGGACTGATTTTTACAATACATGATAAAAAAACATGCAGTGTTTTCCCAAACAGTAATAAATCTCTATATGGCATCTCTTGTAGCTGGTAAAAAATTGCTACTAGTTGGATTTCGTGGGACAACTTTTTGTGGAAGAACTATGGGCAATACTTGACGGATTCTACTCGCACAGCAAACAGATTTTCAGAGATTGGAAATGAATACCTCATGAATGCTCTTCAATCACATGTTTTCCATTAATTTTTTTCCTTTTCAGAGAATTGGCTTCCAGAAAATTCTCATGGCATGTTATAACTGTGTCTCCTTTGGATTTTACTTTAGCATTTTTATCAAAATTTCCTTAGCATGACCACAGGATATATAAATTCAGTTAACTAATAACATCAATATACTTTTTGTTAAATTGCAAATTCCATTTCACAGAAAAGTAATTTGCCAGGTGAAATGCACATATTACTGAAGGACAAATCCTTCATTAAAACTTGCAGATTCTATCATGTATTGCAAGCAGAATTTCTGAAATATTAATCTTCTGTTTCTTCTCTACAAGTAAACTGTGATTTAACACAGCTCTTTACAGCATAAATAATCATTTTAATTATTTACAGATGTAGTAATGTAAAGTGATACATTACTACATTCTATTAAAATGCTTATAATTCATGGGAACATAAAAAAATTATTGAAGCAGTATTTAATAAATTACATATGTTCATTGATTTATAAGTAAGGTTTCTCATCACGTGGCATTAAGCAATGCCACGTGATGCAAAGAAAATCTTTTTCACATGCTTTCGGTAGCATCAATTGTCACAGGCAAAACAGTTTAGCTTTATTTTACTCGGTAAATATCAGAATTCATTAGCCAAGTGTACTGTTACTGATTTACATATAAAACAATGATTAGTAGTAAGAGTTTTTGACATTAGAAGGTTATTTGTCAATTGAAATCACAAATATAAAATAACAACTGTTGTACAAATGTGAATAAAAGGCAAGCGATGGAACATGGATATTGGTTGTTCAAAAAAAAAACTGAAAGAGACATTAAAAAGTGAGATATTTTTCATATGATACTGAAGTTGCTAAATACATGAGATTAAAAAAGTACAATAAGTTTTCTTCAAGAACTGGATGAAAAATGGAAACAATTTAGATAAAGGTATAGTAGTAACTGGTAACATTGTTGAAAAATAATGTTTATCAGAAATGTTTTCTTTTTTTTCCATTCTCTGATATAATTTTCACTATTATTAATATTTTCTTATTTGAAATTCATGTTATATAACTGGTGACTTCACTTACATTTGCATGCTAGCAAATACAGTGCATATATGTACTATATATTAAATATAATCATTGGTAATCATGGTTAAATTAATAACAAATTTATTCCTAATGGTGAATGGTTTATTAAAAATGAACTATTAATAGATTGCTAATAAAAATATACTTTGAAGTAGTTCTCAGTTAGTTAAGCATTCAACATTTTAGAAAATTACTTGATTATTATTAAAGATTGATAGATTTGATTATTATCAACAGATATTTGTTTTATTTATAAATATTAATATCACAATTTAAAAAGAATTTAAGGATAAAAAATGAAGTGGACGGATGAACAGTTATTCTTCATTTCAACAGAGCTACAAAAGTGCCCTTTTACTGCTACTATAGTCCAGTATATAAAAAGTACTATTAATGAATAATTAGTAGCAAAAAACATTCAATAATTGCACTTGTCAGCAAGTTTTTGTTCTAATAAAGTGATTCAATAATAAGTGGTGCCAAAAGGGACAAATTTTATTGTTGAATTTGCTCTCTAATTTCCATGTTTTACTTTGCATTTATTGAAAGTTATAAATTATATACAATATAAATTATTTATATATAACACATTTTTTATAATTCATTAATGCATTACTTTTCAAAATTAAAAATTTTGAAATTAACTTTGATAAAGCCTGTTTTAAGCCTGTTAAGAATTATTAATATAAAAAGTTAAATAGGAATAAAAACACGTAGTTTTCATTACAAGATAATATGTGCCAGTTTTCTACAAAATGATATGTGCACTAAGATTATCTATTAGCATCCACTCGATGAAATATGTTATTATGTCATATAAGAGTGTTCTTGTTTTCAAAGTTACTGCTGTCAATAAAGATTTTTAAACGCGTAATTTTGTTTTGTTCTTTGTTCTCTGAAATAATTAATATAAAAGGATTATTTCTTATGTTTAAAAATATTTTACCGCAATCAATCAAAATAAAATGATGATAAAAGTATCTTTTTTCTGAAGCATCAAACTAAAACAGATCTTTCTTAAAAAACTAGCACATAAAAGATTACAAAATACTTTTCTTTTAAAAATGTGTTTTTAGAACAAAAGAAAAAGGGGGGGAACTTGAGAATAATTACCATTTTGAAAATTCTTTCTCAAACTCTCAACAAAAGCTGTTATAAAAATAGTAACACTGTTTATATTTTGATTTTGTAATAGAAGATTTTTTTTCTTTTATCTATATATGACATATTACTTAATAGTGATAAATATATTTACAGAATGCACTTGCTGCTAGTAAAAGGATGAAAAAAAAAATTAAGATTAAACAAGCTCATTTTATTAGTAGTTATAAAATACTATAAATGAATCACATTTGCAAGCCTTAAATACCATTATAATTTACTATAATATTCATAAACCAGTATTTTGGATCAAATCTTATTCCGAGCTAAGAGTTTGGAGTTATTAATCACATATTTTAGCTAAAAAATTATTTCATCAACTCTTCCATAAAATTCTTTAAGTAGCTTTCATCATTAGCATCCTTCATTTTTATTCAGTAAATGATTATGAAGTATGTGCTAGTTTTCTTATAAATCAGAACTCTTAATAAAGAATTTTTACATAATTGTCGATTAAAAAATACATACATATCTATAAAATTGATGACTATATAGCTTCATTTCAATATGGCCAATTTTTAAAAAATGAGTTAATAATTAAAAATACATACATGTTTTTAAAACTATCAGCCTCTTACAAATTTGTTTGCAGCTGTTAAAAATACGCTATCATCATTTCACATATTTCATTTATCTTCATGATAATTAATTAAGGTGGACAGCTTAATACTTCAGTTTTCCAATAGCTTACAGCTGACGAAAATTTTACATCTATTTTCTACACAGTTTCTAAGCTGTAATTTCTATTAAACAAATGAGAAAAAGTTATATTAAGGAGTATATATTAGCATTTTTATCACAATCTGCTTCTTGAGGAATTTATTTGAAAGGTATACTACTTAACTTCACAATTTGTAAATACAATGTATACACAATTCAAATCTTTTGCACAACAAACATATTTTGACCCCCCCCCAAAAAAACATAAATTATATTTTTTATAAAGTATTATATGTTTTAAAATGAAATAAATCCAAAACACAAATGCGTAATGGCATTCTGAACTAAAAGTGGAAGCAATTCAGATTAAAATAACTCATTTCTAATCAACTAGTTTTTTTTAAAAAATTATTTTGATAAAAAAGAGAGAGGGGAACTTGAAATCAGAATTACAAGCAAAACTTTTAGACGTAATACAATTATAAAAATCATTCTTAAAATGCTCAAATTTAAGTACTTTGTGCCTGAAAAACACAACCTCCATATTTTCTTCCTAATAATTACATTGTAATCTCTTCCACACAATTGCATCCAATAAAAGAAACAGAATTTTGGTAATTCTTAGGCAACAACTAAATGCTTCTCATTACCAAGAAAGATAAACCTTCGGGCTCCACATTCACAGCAATACTTGGCACTGATAATAGGATATTTAGTTCCACAATTATAACAAAAACGAGGCATACGCTTTCCTGAGTTCCCACTACAATTAACAGAAGGAAGAGATCCAGAACTGCTGCTGCTAGTACTGTGTTGCATTTCACCATCACTAGTCCAAGGATCTTTAATCATCTCTTCTGGTGCAGGGAAACTGTACATTTTGGAATGGTTATTTCTAAGATGTTCACTTTCATTAGATCTAAAAAATAATACTCTGATTGGTATATTTTTGTAAAAATATTCAAATTATACTTAAAACATTAAAATCACTACACCTCATAAACATTTTTGTTTATTTAAATATTACATTCATACAATACTTTTGATGTTAAAAACATCTTTGGCAGTCTTTTTTAAAAAAAATTTACTGTTAATTACCTTGCATCATTATGCATTTACATTCTTGCCAGCTGCATAAGAGTTAAAAATCAAAAGATTTGAGGGGAAAATCACAATGGGGAATACATATAATCTGAATATCTTAAACCAAATATCATAAATAACAGGAGCTACATAAATTATTTTACAGAAGCTTTTATACTTCTATTATAAAGAAATCTGAATATTGAACTTCATAGCATTTATTATCTTATTTTAAGTTTTAGACTGAAGATATTAAAAAAATTAAATACTTTTCAAAGCATGACAGAGGGGTGTGCGTTTCATTTTCATGAAATTTTTGCTAAAATAATGCAATTTTAATGACTTCTTAATAATAAAGTTATGTTTACAAGGAAAAAAATAATCATGCAATTTACAAAATCACCAAGTCAAAATTTCTACAACCATAATAGTCTCAGCAATTTAAAAAATGTTGAAAAGTCGCCAAAATAATGATGCATAACTGAAAAGTTCATGTTTCATGAAAAGACAGAGCTTGTTCTTGGTATAACAAAAAGGATAAATTCAAATGGTAAACTAAAACCAAACATCTGAAAGCATACAAGCTTAAAATCAACCAAATTGACACAATTTTTGTTATCTTTACAGAAAAGTGCAAAATTGGAATAGTTTTTGCAAAAAATATAGAAAATCGTAAAAGTTAGTAGATATGCATTTATTATTGATGCAACTCTGTAAGCTCTGCTATTGTGTCAAATGTAAAAGTCAAAATTTTATCTTCCTCATGGCTATGTAAACAGCAAGTATAAGATATCCAGGGTAGCCAGTAGTTGTATGGTTTTGTTTTACTGCGTGTTGTTATGAAATAAGGGCAGTTCAAAATATATAAACAGGCATTTGAATAGACACACGAAAGAATTTTCTAGCATTGCTATTTAATTTCACAATATTTAATGCACTGTTTTTCAGATCATAACTTGTTAGTAGATTTAATAGTTTTAAAAACCCACATTTTAATAATTTTAAACTCTGCTTTATTTTTTAATAACTGATATAATTTGTCATCATTTGCAGCATTATCCCAATTTTTAAAAGATGTTTCTAATGCTATATATTACATACTGCAAATCAGGATTTCTTAATTCAATGCATTTAATTTATAATTCTTTTATATATTACTACAATCTTTATTTTAGGATTCTGCAGCTAGAATTCTTTAATAACTGCACACATTATCCTTGGGCAATCCATAATGGAAATGCAGAGTTGCCTTAGTCTGTAGGAAACTTTCATGAGTACACTGTTTAATAGTAGATTTGAAGCAAGGAGATATTCTTAAATACTAGGACTGTACTAATCTTGATGTATCTCTGGCGATTTGAGAAAATTTGCAATCACAGCAACAATTTCATCCAGAGCCAGGACAAAGCTGAGCCTTAGGTGAATGAACCAAATTAGCACAAAATTAGCAAAGATAATTTAGAAAGCAATTAAAAAAATATGAATATTAACTTTGAAACATACATACAGTATCAGAAGAATTTTGTATTATAAACAATTCAGCTGAATTAAGAAAAAAACTAATAGCATTAATTTATTCTCAAGAGTGCTGAGGTAATATCGTTTTAGGAACTAATGAACTGAAGTTAGTTTATACTTGTGCTCAATAGATTAAATTTGCATACGTACACCATGCTTCTAACATTGGTAATTCATTACTATCGACCTTTAGTTCTTAACTCTCTTATTTTGCTAAAACAAGCTTTCCAAAGTCCATTAATTAAATAAGGATGACATTGCAACTGTCTACAGTTTGTGCAACAGACTTAATATATAAAGAACCATTAAAATAGCATCAGCAAATTTAATAAGGATTTTTGAAAATGATTATGTATTTTTGACCATGTATTACGAATCTTTTGCTTCACGTTTTGTGTAGCATTTAATGAAAAACACAGCCATTAATTTAAAAACACGGGTTCAAAGTTTCATGCATCCATATTTAATTTGCACTGGAACTATAGGGTTGGCTCATTTACAATTACTTCTAGATCAGTTATGTAACGCTGGACAGATTTAACGAATCGGACATTAATCTGGCTCATTCTTTGTTAAAACTGGAAAGTAAACATGTAAGATAAGACATAACTTTTCCTTTGGTCATTTTATTGTTTAAAATGAAACAAAAAAATGACTGATTTAGAATCAAAAAATAAAAAAGCAGTTTTAAAATTTTGATTTTTTGTGGAAGATTTAAGACAAATCATTTTGATTAATTCTAACACAACTGATTATATACAACACACACTTCAAGCAAATTTAATATCATTCTGTTGATTCTAATGCAACCAATATAAAAATAATATAATTGAATATATATCTCTAGAATGGTGGTTCTCAACTTTTCTTGGCCTATGCACTCTTTCACCATTGCTAGACGATCATATCACACTCCTTTCCAAAACTCGAAAAATACATATACATTGATTTAAATTTAGATTATTTTTTAAATTTTTGATGTGTTTATAAATTAAACAAGTACAGAAAATGTTTACAAATGCCAAAACTCGAAATAAAAGTAGTTTTTTTAATCATAATCTAAATATAAATACTTAATAGGTAAATAAAAGGTTGACTGCGATCCAACAGACTTAAAACAATAAAAAATTAAATATCATCCACTTGAATAACAAAACTGTCAGACATGAGCATTCTATCTATAAAACATGAATTAGAGCTAAAGTAAATTTTGAAAAAAAAAAAATACTGATACTCTGTTAAAATCATGAATAACTGAATCGTAAAAAAAATGCTTTTCATATTAGTTACATTACTATTTATACAATTTTGTTATTTGTGATTAACTAAAAACGAATTTTATAATATTTTTTAATTTCAAAGTGTTACAAATTATCATGAGTCATTTTTATTAATATATCAAGCTATGATGAGTACAGATGATTTTAAATTAACTCAGGAAGTGAAAACGCAAAAAATGGACTTTCAAACTCAAAATCCAGCACTAGTACAGCAAAGTTTATAAACATAAATTCAATTATTAATATCAATTATCCTTTAGGAATATCAATATTAGTCAAAATCCAGCACTAATACAGCTATGTTTATGAACATAATTCAATTATTAATATTGATTATCCCCTAGGAAATGAAGAGTAATAGCTATTGAATTAGGAAACTAATTAAAAGTTAGTTCTTCATAAAATTGTTAAACTATACAATTATTATTATTTTTTTTAATATAATTTCCAGTGGCTAAGCAAAAGTTACAAAGAACTAAAATCTTATAAACAGAGGTTTTACACAACTATAGAAATGAAAACTTAATTAAAAAAAGTAATAAATGCACTATAACTGCAAATAAATAAAAATTTTAAATAAAAGTGTCTTTTATTATTTTTATTTCTAATACATTTATTACTTTTTTTGTTTGTTTTGGCTGCTGTAGGCATACCTCAAAAGTGCCAACTCCCAAGCTTTAAAAACTATAAAATTAAAAAAAAAAAAAAAAAAAAAAAAAAAAAACCAGAAAAGCACAGTCTAATTTAACTGAATTAAGATGATAGCACTCATACAATATTTACAAAATTGTTTTTATTAAAAACACGAGTTTTGGAACTAAAACTAGTACAAATAATACTTTTAAAATAACAAAGAATAAAGAATACTAGTACAGTATGCAAAGTTGAAACTTAAATAATCTCTTCTGAAACTTTTTTTTCTGTGAAAACCTGAATATCTACTTTCAGATCTAATTTATTACTTGTACTCAATTCACATTCAGTTGTCCACATTGCTAACTGATAAAGACAATTTTGAGTAGACATGATTCTTAGGTGAGTTTTTATTATTCTTAGTTTAGAAAAAGGTCTTTCATTGGCAGCAACACTTATGGGCAGGTTTAGCAAAGTTCTTAAAGCAACATTTAAATTTGGCCAAATGTTAAGGGAGATAATGAATTGAAGAACATCAGCTAGACCTCTTTTCTTTTTTGAAAGTGAAGAAACAAGGTCTATTTCATCATCCATTTCTAAAGAGTTAAGATCGGAAGAATCACCATTTGTTAAGACGTTTTTTAGGTTTTTACAATGTGCCAGTAATTCATTTTTACACATGTCTTCAAGTTTCTGCACAGAGTATAAAACCTTAAAAGAATCATTATGACTATTGAATAGCTCAGCTCCAGTGATCTGATCTATAGTAAAGGGGAAAAAAATCTGTTTTATATTCTTCTTTTGAATCTTGTATAGGTTCGTCTACCTCTACACTTTTATATGAAAAATTTCATTTTTAGATCAAACACGATAATGTGGTGTAGTCAGTTCAAAGTTTTTTCTATGTCTATTTTGTTAGCTAATTTTTCAGCTTTTAAGATAACACTGTGAAAGGATTCATCCAATCTTAATTTTTTAAAAATGTTAATGAGCTATTTAATAAATCAGTGGCTTGGCATAAATCAAAACCTTTTGATTCATGTAGCTTACTTATTGGATTAATACGGTTCAAAATTTTATACCAAATGATAATAGAACATAAAAAACTCAAATTGTTTTATTGTGATCAATAAACCACTGATCTCATCTCAAATTATATTATTTATTTCAACATTTTGATAAATACTTAATAAAACATTGTGAACATTTTCTATTTCAAAATGTAAAGATTTTAAAAATCTACACGATTTCCCCAATGAGTGTCATTTGCGAGTTTCAATGTATGAGTTTTAAAGTGTTTTCTTAAAATGGCCCAATGAAAAGTGACGATGCAAAAAATGTATATAGCATTTGAACCATATTAAAAAAATTTGCTGCCTCCAAGGAAGATCATATTTAAACCATTGTTGTAACCTTCACCTCTTATCTGTTTTAATTTTAATCAATTTTTCTCCAAACACTTTCTAATAAAACTTGAGATTAATTCCTTACAGTAGATCTTTCAATAGGAAGAAAACCCAGAAAATGCTTATTAATGTTGCATTCAAATCTCACTTCTGATTGATGAATAAAAGTATATCTTACTGCAAATGTCATTTGTTCAACCTTACTTGCATCAGGAGTACAATCAAGAATAACCAAATAATATTTCGGGTTTTAACTTGCTTTATGTGATAAGACTTTATGTTATCATGTAACAGCTCAATAATTTTGTTCTGAGTGTTTTTCTCTAACTATATTGCCATCTTCTCTTCATTATTGAGGATTCTACAAACATGTTCCTCAATAATTGGGTTAAATATGCTCATAAAGCTTGTCGCTCGTACCCTGAGGGATTAGAGAACTTTCATCAAGCAATTTAATAACTGACATTATTTATAAAATTACTTCATGCAAATATTTACTTTCAGAATAAATTCATCTTTTCAGCTTAATTTAGCATGTGACAAGTTTCCAAACTTTACTTTAGCTCTATCCATGATTTCAAATTATTTACACGAGTTTTCGAGTCTTCCAGCTTTCTTAATAGCTCATCAATATTTTCCCAAACATTACTAACTTACCTCAAGAAAGTACTTTTTGCATCCACTACGCTGTACATGTTACATAAACTCTTATCACTACCAGAATCCAAATGGACCCAGTTATGCATAAATAAGGCATTGTTTTAAATCTGATTTTCTTTTATTAGAGGATTAAAAAAAGGTTTGTTAAATCCTGTCAGCGGCAGGCACATATTTCCCACTTCACGTAGCGCAACCGCATATACAAATACAGATTACTCAGAACTTAGAAGCTTATCTATTCTTGCCTCCTGTGCATGTCAAAATATAGGAATGGCCAGAAGCCTGTCAATTGCTGTTGTATTCATTTTACTATTCCTTTATTTTCTAGATTCAGGCTACCAGAATATATTTTTTGATTTTTTTTTTTTTAGTTCAGTTGGTTTTGACACCTTTAAATTTTGCCACTGTAGGCAGTTGTCTACCTTGCTTACTGCCTAGGGCCAGCCCTGTTACGTGGCAATTCAGGTATGTACATGGCATGTCTTTTTGGCTGAGGCTCAACGTCGAACTGCACAATGCCAAGTTTATGTAATTCTCTGATGTTATTTTGAAGCAAAAACTGATTTTCATGTACATAGGTAGAACAACAGTGCAAAAAAAGGAGCATTTCTTGAAAAAGATGAATGTTTTAATTTTATTGATTGACTGCTCCTGTTCGAAATTTTTAGCGCACAGCCTTTATGAACAATTCTGCTGTCTTTTGCAAATTAGCTTGTCAAAAAGTTAGTTGCCAGTGAGCTTGTGAATGTTCTCTAAATTCAGTAATGAGTCTGCAACTTTTTGCTGTGAGCGAAGGTAATCAGAAACTACCAAATAACTCTCCTTAACCCGTTCCGGCATGATACCTTTAAAAGTCAGAGTTTTGATTAAAAAAAAAAAAAAAAAAAAAAAGGTAGGCAGTCTAATTATGCCTAGAGGAGTACACAAGTAAAATTTTGTGAAGTTTTACTTACCGTTTTAATTCTGTGGGTGTGCCCAAAGTGGCACACTGATTGAATAGAGTTTCAAAAAGAGTGCTGAAACGAGCATTGTTGTCAATGAACTGACCGATGAGATGCGGAGAAACAAGGAATACAGACTCTCAGTTGTCCTAGATTATCGGTGCGCCCAGTCTGGGCACACCTAGGGTTCGTCCTTTTATTTTAAGCAAGATTTCAAGGTAAAAATTTAAAACTAATATAGAATAAGGAGATTAGCATACAGCCAAAAAAATAGCATAGAAATTTCTTTTCAAACAATTCCTTTTATACCCTAAAAAAATATGGAAGATTTCTTTGAATAATGAGGGTCTTAAAAAACTAAACATGGCTAAAATATATGGACTGGTTTGTGTTCAGCTGCCATCTACTATAAATAAAGAAGGTTCAGAGTAACCTATAAATCCTTTTTCATTCAATTTTTCTGTGCATACAGAAGGAAAGTTGTAGGTGTGTCCAGACCGGATGCACTGGGCCGCAAAGGGTTAACATCATATTTATCTAACAATTACAATGAAACAAAGATTACACCTAATGCATATCTAAATCTCTTCAGGATATTTTAATAAAAAACTACATAATCACATTCAAAATTATTCTTGAGCTACTCTTAAAAACAAATCTCAAAGCTTTAAAACAATACATGACATAATATTTTACAAACCTTAGAATATATTCATCTAAAAGCTCTTCTGATGTGTTTAATTCTGAAAGTCTTAGTCTCAGTGCTGCAAGCATATCAAGATTCGTATTCCTAGAAAATATTTCCAGTTTTATTACTTTTCTTTACAAAACATTCTTGGGAAACATCATGGAAGGTATACATAGCTCAAACTTGATCAGTTACCTTTCTTTATTATACACTGGGAATTTTTCCTTAAATTTGACAGCCTTTTTAGGTTTGACTTCTTGCTCATTTATTTTAGAACAAAGCAAATTTGTTGTAGTATTATGCGCAAAGTGAAATGGCACACTAAAAACAGAAAAAAATATAGACACTTAATCTTAATTTCATTGACACAGTTGTTACATAAATTCATAATGGAATCTCATATGCAAACGACAATATATAATAAACATGCGTGTAAAGTCAAATGTTACTTAGCTGAAACAACTTACGAAGATGAAATTCCAACCCAATATTTATTATTTTGATCAACTTAATCATTTAAAGTTTTCAGAATAAAAAATTAGTTTCTTTCTACAGAGACACTAATCTTAAATTACCCATACTTCAGGAATTTGATACTAAAAATTACTAAAAAAGAATAAGTAACTCTTTTTATACAAATAATTATTTCAATACTATATATTTTCTCTATAACTCCATGAGATTTATGGATATTGATACACTGGCATTGATACATTACCCACGATAAGAATTGCAAAATATATGCTTTTGCTTACAAGACGAATATGATGATTTTCATTGATGATTAACATATATAACAGTAAAAAACTTTAATAAAAGAGAGTTAAAATACCTGTTCATAAAAAATAATCAATATTAATAGATACAGAACTCTTTACCAGTTTTTCCTAAATATTCAGCCAACTCTTAAATAACAGCATATAGACAGCTATTGAACAATTATCATATAAAGTAATTCTTATTTCTGAAGTGATGATCTTTAATATATTTGTTAAAAGACTATTATCTTCAAACATATGCCTAAGAATCAGAAGGTATACCAATTACATTGCTGTTTTATCACATAAAATTTACACCACATATTACAGATCAGAACATAACTTAAGATAAACTATGTATTTAATCAGGTGAAATTTCTGTTCACTGAAGTATATTAAAAATACCACAAAATAATAAAAAGAACATATATAACATAGTTAAGAAAAAAAAAAGCTGCATGAATTTATTTGTACAAAAATAAAACAATGATGTAAACTATTACATTTATGCTTTTATTATATTCTTAGAAATCAACAGAGTGAAAAAGTTTTCACTTTTGCCAGCCAGTTAATGATTTGGCTCTGAAACCATGAAGATTCACATTAAGTTCTCAAGGAAAAATTACTTTCTTGAGTGCAATTCCAAAATGCCTTCCAATATACTACTTCAATGATTTATATTATTTCATAATGCTTACATATGCAATTAATTCATAAATATATGTACACAGCATGGCCAATTAGAGGGTTAAAAAAATCTCACTAAAAATATGGTAGTATAAAAATGAATTGATATTCAAATATCCCAAAATATATAATCTGTAATAACAAGAAAATTGTACTTATGCCCAGTTAATATATATCATTTATTCAAATATAGTGCCCATCATCTTAAGCAGGTAAATGAATAAAACTAGGGAACTGAGCATAGTTCAAGTGTTAAAAATATGCATGCCCTGATTCTTGTCTATTACCCCAAAAATTATCATGAAATTTAATAACTCCATGCAGATCTGATACTGCTAGGTGAATGCATTAAAAAAAACTGTTAACAAAGTGTAAAAAAACAAATAGTTAAATATAATACTTAAAATTACAATTTATGTAGGGCTGGGATATAAAGTACTCACAAATTTTTGATACAATGATTTCTCTTATCAACTCAAAAACATTCAAGCTACTTTTCAAATACACAAAGTTTCCTAAACAAACCTATGTACCAGCACTTAAAATGCATCATAATATAGCTTTTAAATGCTTTTTCAGCTTAACTCTTAAGTTTTAATCTGCTTATCTCACCTAGTGCTTTAACATGAAGATATTATATTTACTTGTATGCCCTTGTCAGTATTTTTAATAGAGGACTCAGAAATTTTTAAAATCTTTTCCACTTAGCTTTCATCTTACTTCCTGCATTTATCAAATTAATTCTTGAAAGCATATACACTTCAAGGTTGCTGACTGAGCTCTTCAGAATCCCAGCCAAAATAATTTATACTCCTCTCTAACGATGATATAAAGAGAGGGAAATACAATGGGCAGAGTATAAAGACAATTTATCCTTGAAGATTCAATCTCTTAAAAAGCACTGAGAAGGAAGTATAAGGCTTCATTATAGCTAATGGCAGTGAAAATATGTGGCACAAAATCGCTTCAAAGCTTTTCATTTTATACTCTATCTCCAGTCACTAATTACACTAAAACAGCATTCAAGTTATAGTCAATGCTTGATTAATTAGAAACCGAATAACTGCACTTTATCTTAAAAAAGGGCGAGCAGGGATTTTTTTGTTTATTGTGGAACAATTGTAAAATTACTTTCATGACCAACAGGATAAAGACAGCCAAAATAAATGTACAGAAAAAAGTGGTAACACATGATGTCTTATTAATTGGAATCTGTTTTTATCCACAGTAGTGCATTGTTTGATTGTACTTAATCCTGAATATATGTATAAACACTGTACAGTAAAACAAAAGTCCTAACCCACTTTTTTATGAGAGTTTGACCCCACTGATATTGTATAGACTCATATTGAAACCTCTTAACTGCCATGGGCAAATAAATATGCCTTGCTCAGCCGATGTGTTAACTGCCCCGGGCATATATATACACCCTTCCAAAATACTATTATTTGCTTTGCACTGCTACCAGTAAAATTATTTGCAAAACTTTGGAATGCAACACTACAATAACCTTGACAGAGTGTGGAAAGGAGGATACTATTTCAGAGAAGAGGGAATGTTTTTGAAATGGTTCTGAAAGTAATGACCAAGCGGTTATTGCTCATGTTTCACTTTGAGTAAAATGTATTTTTTTTATTCTGTGTCTTCCATTTTCATTGACTGTTTATACTAATATGTCTGACAATTATGGCAATGAAAGAGATGATTACTAGTCACCTTCAGGATCAGTCACCTCAGAATAAGATATTATATCAGATGAAGAGGATTGCGACTATTCTCTGAAAGATGCACGATGTTGGGTACAACTTGGTATGAAAAACCTGCCTATGGCATCCAACCAATTCAGAAGAAGTATATGTTGTTTTTAGATGTACTGATTTTACAAAGTATAACACCGAAACCTGATATTACACTTTAGTGGTCTAAAACTAAATTGATCGAAACTCCATTTTTTGGGATCTTTCTTATCATACTTACATCTTTTATTATACTTTTACTTTAAACATTAAATTTTTTATTTTCATTTTTTCTTTTATTCTTTATTTTGTGAAAGTAAACAGTTTTTAGACAGCAAAAATTGCACTTATTTTCCTCCTAATACATCGCATAAATACGCGAACCTGTGTAAAAATGGAGCACTGGGGAGTGAATCTTGTACATTTTCCATGGCAGTTAAGGGATTAAAAACTCTAGGATTAGCTATGATTTTGAGTCAAATGAAAATACAGTATTATCCTAATACATCAAGAGTTATTTGTACATTCTGCAATTTCTCATTTCTTACTTCCTTTTTAAATATATTATTATAAGACTTTACTGAGCATTAGAATCTCCCAATTTATATTATATAGTTTAACGGGAAATTTTATTCCAAACATACAGAAATTCTCTCTTTAATAACAGCAAAAAGCAGTAATAAAAACAATACCTCCTTTCTAAATTTTTGTATGTCTTTGGAACAGACTTGTTGTTTAATGTGCACCGTTTTGAATGACTAGCATCACTTCCAGATATAGGAGGAGAAGAATGGGTACGTAAACTGGAAGACTCACGTACAGAATCAGCAGACTTCACCAGTCTTTTGCCAAAATCTTTATTATTCTTCTTAATAGGCAATGGGGCACGATACTAAAATATAATCAGTATTAACAGAAAGCAATATTTTAATCAATCCTCTACAATTTCTTTAACAAATAATTTTACAGATAAAACTGTCTGCAAATAGTGTTAATTTTAACTGCCCCTCACTGAACATTACTTTGAATTATTAATTTACACAGGGTTCGTAGCCACATTTTAATTAAAAAAATAAGCACCTATAAGCACTTTTCAAGCACATTTTAATGAAAAAATAAGCACCTGTCTAATTACATTATATACAACTGCATAACCTTAAAAGAAAAATTATACTTGTAATTTAAAATATGAGCAATGCAATATTTATTAAGAGAATGAGCATTACCTCAACTATGGAAAACAATTAACTTTTTGGTACTATTCGGTTTCGAGGGCAGTAAAAAATCGCCAAACTATTGCTGATGCCAATGATGCCAAAAATAATTGCGGCAAGAAAGGAAGTATAATAGTAAATAACTATCTAAGATTGATGTTTTAATTTAGATGAAAGGTTAATTTCATATAATACTTTTTTATTATTATACTTTATATGAAAAAGGCTAAACATGACTGAATGGAAGCAAAAGAGTAAATAACTATTTCAGATCATTATTATAATTTATATAAAAATTGCTAAACATAACTGAATGGATGCCTTCATTGCTATTTTGCTACAGACTTATCGCTAAAGCATAATTTCATCTCGTTGGTTGTTTTCTATAATGAATCAGTAATTTTCTATAATGAATGATGCCTTTTTCACTTATTTGTTCGCTGCTTTTTACAAGGGTAAAAACAATTGGATTTTTGTCAATTTTCTTTCACTTTTTAAGTGAAAATAGCTCAATGTGTACATAGATAAAGTCAAAGGTGTGCGCACTGCAATTTTTGTGCAATTCAAGAATATTTTATTTAAGTGAAAATAGGTCGATGTGCACATGGATACCGAGTATGTGCAGTTCTTAAAAACGCGTCAAGCAGTGGATGATTCTGCACTTTACTCCAAAATTCTATTGCCAACTTTTCGTCATGGGCAATTCACAAATTGTTAAATCCATGGGGGGGGGGGGAATTAAATCAAAAAAGGATTAAAAATTAAACTAGTATTTCAATGGCGTTTTAAGTAATATAGAACTATATAAACTTACGCAATCTGAAATCAGCGCGTACGCTAGATTTGGTGCACTGTTAAATGGGCACGTTCGCTAGATTTGGCGCTTTTGCGCATACATTTTCGCTGCAATTTTTTTACGGCCCTCAAAACAGAATAGTACCACTTTTTTTTTTTTTTTTTTAATTTTAAACGAAAGTTCAATTTACAGAATTAGTTTACAATGAGAGAAAAAAAACTATGCAGAACTAAATTATATTACAAGATTTAATAATGAAATTTCAGTTCAAAATATAGAAAATAAATAATAATATGCCATATTAATTGTATTTGTTTGGGACCTAATAATAAATACAATTATTTTTCCACTCATATTAATATTTAAATAATTTAACTTAAATCAAAATTCTGACCATTTTCTAAATTTTCATTGCATAACAGTTTTCCCTTAACAAAGCAAAGTAATTTAAGTAAAAAAAGAGGCACATTTCTGAAATCAGAAGACGGGAAATTGCTTCATGCAGTCATCCTTTAACAGTAAAAGCTTAACTAACCCGCTTACTTGGAAATTGCTGAATATTCCGGATAGTAACTGGAAAAAGAGGAGTGGGGGAGGTTGTAGCCGTTCTTTAGATTTCTCGGCTAAATAAATGATTTTGACATTTCGATATGTGCATAGAAATATTCTGCTTAGAAAGCACAGTAAAACTCTTTTTAAGTGTTCATACACAAATCTCAGACTGAACATCAAAATTAATGATCTCTGCAAAGTACCACTATTGCACAATATGTGCAACGTAATTCTTCCACATGTGATATTATGCAATCGGAATCAACAGCTGCCGGTATTCAGAGAATAAAGAACCAAATAAAGGAAAAGAAAGAAACTTACTAATCTGGGGTGTTTCCGATTCTAATTTTCAACAGACTGCATTAAATTTCTGGAATGGAATCAATCTTCGCTTGGGTTGGGTAGACCGCAAAAATTTTAGTTCTATTCAATCCAGATTGGACAGTGACGACAAAAAAAAAAAGTCCGCTGCTTCAATATCAGAGATTTTGCGGAGAAAGGAGAGAACCTATCCCAACCTTCCGTACTATATAATGTATTGGAAAAAAAAAAATGAAATTATTTTGACTATTCGATTATTTTCCTTTTATTTAAGCCATTCCGAATATTATTCCTTAGAAAGCTAATTTGTGTAAAAACGCACCCATTTTTGGAAGTTTATCTATACTTCAGCAGTTACTGCAACTATATTATTATAAATATTCATGCATATGCTCATAATATAAGCATAAGGATCATAATAAACACTATGAACTGACCACGCGGAACGAGAATGCAAATTATTAAAATCTTGATAGAAATTCAAACGTATGTAGTATTTGGGTGGGATGAAAAGAATACCGAATGTACCGGAATTTTCTACTTTTTCGCAATTCTTTAACCAATAGAATGACGTGCACCTGTCTGCACTCTCGTGCACACCGTAGGTTACGTTAATGCAGAGAAAGGGGGGAAAGCAATTTCCGGGAGTATGATTCACCATCTGACGTTGCATATTAGGAAGAAAAGTTATTTATTTAGTTTCAGTACGGGGAAAAAATGTGCGTTCATTAAAAAAAAAGGGATTAAAAAAAAGCACTAAAAACAAAAAAATAAGGGCTTTAAAGAAGAAGTAAGCACCTATAAGGGCCTTTATATTTTATTTTCAAATATAAGGACTTATAAGCACTTATAAGGGCCGCTACGAACCCTTTTAACTTTCACTGCACTCCTAAATATATTGTTCTCTGAATGTAATACAGAAAAAAAATTAAGAAAACATTGAACAAGCATGTTTGGTAATAAGTTCAGAATATTCTACATCAGTACATTTTTTAAGTTTCTTAAAAAAAGTGTCCATAATATCTTAAAAATATCTTGTATTATTTTCTTTTAAGAATATCCTTTTAAGTTGCATTTTCTATAAAGATCATCACAATTAAAGTAATCATACTTAAATCTAAAATGATGCAAACTAAATTCACTTAATATTTTTTACTTTAAAAACATACAAGAAGGAAAATGCTATTGTAAATATCAAATAAACAAAAGCAATTTATAGCATTAGATTCTCATTAACTTACAAGCTCATGTTCAAAATACTTTTCACTTTAAAAAGCAATTCACTTCTATGCACTCTGCCTGCAGTAAAATTTAAAAAAAAAAAAAAAAAATCTGGCAAAAAAGTAAATGCAGGTAAGAGGCTGAAAAAACAGATTTGGTTATGAAATGTGACTGTGAAAATGATGCTTTGAGGTGATAAAGGATGTTGCTAAGTCGTATATAAAAGTGTTCTGCTGGTATAAATCAACATTTCCCACACAATTTTTAACAGTATGCCTTGCTATATGAATGTGGAGCTCGCCAACATGCATTTTATCCATGTGGCTGCAGATAAAAAGAAGCAGCCACTCATAGTAGAGCCTGGATTAATTTTCTGTGCCTCTTCTGAATAACTGCTAAAATTTAAACACAACCCTATGAATAAATCCATGATGGTGAATTCCGCATTAGTGTAACAATACACACCACTTGATATTTGCATGAAAAATGACATTTACGATAGCAAAATGCTTTTAATTATCACTTAACATTGCCTTTTACCATCCCAAAGCCCCATTTCCACATACAGATATTCATTAAAAATCAGCTTATTTTGGTTCATCTACTCGACTTTACATTTTTGCAAGATGCTTTTAAAAAAGTGCAAGAAAGCCTCATTAAGACAAAAAAAAAAAACACGTACTTTAACTCTTGCTTTTAACCTCTCTAACGCTTCTGAATTAGGAGGCGTTTTAGGTAATCTACTTTGTTGTTCAAGACACCAAGCAATGTGGCGATCAGCTGCTTTCTGACTAAAACACCTGGAGCATGAAGGACATTGTTCATAGCCTGTTACAAGTAAGGAATTATTGAATAGGAATACATTACATGGTTAAAATTACACAATATGATATCACATGAAGGTATAATTAACATTATTCACAAAATCAAGGTTTTCTAACCTTAGGACATTCTCTTCCTTTCTCCCCCAAAAAAGACAGACCCTTTTTTTTAACCCTTCCCAAAAAGTAGATGTTGCGAACTGCATTAAAACTTGCCAATACTTATAATCAAAACTACAAATGTAGTAGAATTCTGATAATCTGCATACCCTGGGACCAAGGATTGTGAAGAATAATGAATTTTGAAAATTATAGGTTGTGTCTTTCTCAGTTTTGTTTATCCCCCTTTTCTAGATTTTTCATTAAATTTAAACTGTTTGCACACAGATAACTGACTTAAATAGACTCATTTCTTAAAAGAGCACTTGAAAGCAAGTTTTATAAAAGCACTTAAAGTAAGTTTTATAAAATATAAGCTAATATATTTTTTAAATGTCATTATACACAAAGAAAATATCATTACAAGGCAAAAACAAAAGGAAAGGGAAGAGACAGACATATGGACTTTTTTTGAAAAAGTAAAGAACATTTCCTGTAAAAATACACTAATGAATTTTACATGAAAATATTACATATCTACCAACGAAATTATTTTTAAAGTAAACTTTTACACTCTTAAGCAAATGAATTGATAACCATTCTGATTATCCCCATTCTATTTTTAAAAATTCTTTTTCCATATAAAACATGCATATTTCTCAGTATTTTACTGTTGTTTTCCCTCCTTGCATACATCATTTTTTTTTTTAAGTTTTAAAAAAATTGCAGAATTCCACAAATTCAGCATAAAAGTTCTAAAAGAGAAGAAAAGAATTAGGTACATGTGACATGTTAGGCAAGCAGATCTTAGACTCTATGTGTTCAGAAATATTTATGACATTAGAAACATCTATGACAGAAAAATTCAGAAACATGACAATCAGAAAAAATGTTCAATTCAGATCAGGAACGTTTATGTCATTGCACTTTACACGTTCAAAAAGCTAAATCCAAATTTTGCTGAACACGATAAAAACTGCAGTATGTTCTATCATAACGTTAAAATTCTGAAATTCCTGTAGGGGGGATTATAATCTGCCATCATACTGCAAAAATTTCCACAGAATTGGAGGCAGTCTGGGGATATGTAGGGCATACTTGAATTGTTACAACAATAATTTTTGGTAACAGTGTGCATCACTGCATTACTTTTTGACATGATCATCATATATTTTTTTGCATACATGTATTATGACATATATGCATTACGATATCATATATTTTTTTGCAAATTCTTGGTAGTGGTGTGGATAGTAAAAAAATAACCACACATTGGTTAGAAATGCCAAAAAAGAATTCATTTAATTGAATCCCTACACCAATTCTGCCAATATATTCCACATGCATAAGTGAATTAATAACACTGTACAAAGGGCTAGGATTAAAATTTTAGTTTTATTAAAACAAAAATTTTTATTCCTTAGCTCCTTTTTATCCCCTTTTTAACATCAGAAAAATCTTATGAAGTGTTATTTTTAAAAATCTCTCCTCATTCATTGCCAATGTAAACACATTTGTTATACAAAATGTAAACAAACCATCTACAAGGTGAATTTAAATTGAAATGCAATGTATGAAAACTTGCGAACAAATAATTTCTAGACGCATTACATTTAAAATTAATATTAAAAAACAGTAAAATATGCATCTAGAAGTAGATGGTTATCTAAAGCAAGAATTTTGTTGAGATTCATGATGTGCATTCAAAGGAAGTACTGCCACAGGTGCAAAAAAAATGCTAATTTTGTAAAGAAACATTTTTTTTTTTTTTTTTTTTTTTTTTTAAATCAAAGTATGTTACAAACCTTATGTATATTTCTTAAAAGTTCCTGGTACTTTTCCATTACAGAGATATCAACTGGTAATGATATATGGTTGTGATATACACACATACATTGATGTAACTTTAATGCAAAGAAGTTTTTCACATACACATAAGAAAAAAGCTGACACAAATTATTCATACTGAATTTTCTGAAAAACAAAATTTTGTTTGCATTCAAAACTGAGCATGGATTACAATCATTTGCAGATTCTACAGCAATACTCTTTTCCGATTCGGTAAACTGTTTTTTAAATAAAATTCATATTACATTTCTGCAGACATTCTTGAAAATTTAGCTTTTCCTTACATACATTTCCAAAAAGTAATTTATTTTGTTTTCTTTCCCGTAAAAAAAAAAAAAAAAAAAAAAAAAAAAAAAAAAAAAAAAAAAAACCTACTTTGCTTATTATCCGCATCCCTGATAAATTGCCAAAGTGTATTCATTAGGTAAAGCAATATGTCGTCAAAATAGTTTTTGACGATTATGATTTCACCAAAAAGTATTTATGTAGCAAACCCATGTGTAGACAGCACATCTGTTTTTGCCAGTGCGCAATGCTAATGTTATACATTGCCAAGGCTGTACAATTCTGATTTTTTAAGTGAAAACAGATTGCTGTGTTCATGGCGTAAAAATGAATTATTGCTTGAAAAAGGCATGTATTAATTACAGATGACTCTTGCTTTTTCGTTTTTACTGACTGATTCGCTGTTGTTGTATGGAATTATCAGTGTGCCATCATTCTGAAAGTGGCTGTTGTCTTTTGCACATTAGCTTGCCAAAAAGTAATCAAGTTTATGGCATTTTGGAAGGGGTGCAGATTGTAATGGCTTTGCGGTTAAACAGGCACCATTTGACAAAAAGAAACAGAATATTCATTAAAAGAACATTAAAGCGCATAATTTAACTCAGAGCAGAACACTGCTTCTACAATATACAAAAAGCAAGCACCTTGCTCCTCTGCAACAAACATTCAACTACCTTACATCTAGCAACCTCTCGGGAGAAAAGGGAAAAAGCGCAAACCGCACCTTGTTGATTGCTAAACAGTCACCAGATACTACACAGATAATCAGAAAGTACCAAATAAATCAAATATGAGATATACCTAATAAGTCTGATCTATATGAAGAAGTTGAAAGTGATATTACTACATTTTTATCTATTTAATCAACAGTATTTTTAATTCATGTTTAATCAACAATAAAATTTGTTTCTTCCTGTGTTTCAAATGGATAACAGATCCCAAAAGTCTGATTTACGTGCTTTCAAATAGATCAAGTTTCATCTGCAAATTAGTGCTATGCTTCATCAAAATATTGTGATATGATTTTGTGAACTAACTACTTTTCTTCTTTTTTGGCCGGAGGGAATGTACAGGCAAGCTTCCACATTTATTCAACATCAAGTCTGTTCACTGCGACCACTCAATGACAGAGCAAAATTGACGGCTACAACCAGTTTCTCCTTCTTCTGCTGCTGGGCTCCGAAGGTGTAGGACCTTCTTCTGGCAGTTCTCACCTCAGATGATGCTTGTATGCCATTTTGTTCTTTTTGTGTTCCTGTTGTGACTGCCATCTCCATATTGTTTGTAGAGTAATGCATTTCTCCTAGAAAACAGAAATTAGTACTGAAGATTCAACTAAAATTATCTAGATGCTGACTTCTGCAGTAAATTAATGATGTTCTACGACTTGAAATATCTTAGAAAGGACTTCATGTGCACGTGTTCCACTTTCCTGATGATACGAATATTCGCTTTGTGTTTCTTCTAAAATATATTGGAATAACCAGTCGACTCAATTTCCTCCGTTATAAAATTTGATTTTTTTTTTTATGAAACTTTTTTTTAAAATGATGAACTGAGATTTATTTGGATTGGAGTATTACGCATTTCTTGTGCGAAAGGTTAGGTTTCAAAATGGTAGGACTGTTTCTTTCTGCCGCTGTATGATCATGTGTGCCAATCTTCTGTCTGGCGATATTTATTTAATTTATGCTGGTATTGATTCAAAATTTAATGATGTCAAGATATAATAAATATTAATTGATTTACATTGTTTTAATTGTCATCCTTTGGGAGTAAGTTACTTTAATTTTATATTTCTTTCAGATCTCACATTCCATCCTGCACGTTATCAAGTATTTCTGGTTTATTGCACCCCATTTTTTATTACAATATCGTAAAAAGCGCAACAGTTTCTTCACTTGCCAAGTTCCTGAAGTCACTGTTAACAAGTCAAGTTATTTTTTACCATTGTAGACTGACAAAACAGCTTCTAGATGTCTTCATAAGACACAACTATATCAATGCATTATAATTTCTTTATTATGTTTTTCTGATTATCTGAAATGTTCTAACAGGATCTTTTAAGCATAAAAAGAAAGTTTACATGTAGTAAATATAGGAAACAAAGAAGGTGAATATGGTTAGTTAAACTATGCAATTTTTTTTTAATAGCCGGGCACTTTATTCTTTAGCCTTGCTTCACTACAAGGGCTGAAAGTGGTGGCCATTTCACTATGGAAGCACCTAATAGATGACCACTATTGCCTCCTTTGAAAGGACGGACAGCTATAGCCATGCCTTCTCCAGGATTCAAACTAGGGCCCACCACTATGGCAGTCAGGATCACTAGCCACTATACCAGCTGGGCAACACACTACGTAAAGTTATACTAACATATTAAAAATACAACTACTGCTTTGGTGCTTATGTGATAATATATTTTTAAAAAATTCATTAAAAAAAAAAAAAAAAGAGCAAATAGTTGCAGATCTTGGCAGTATAATACAAATTAATTGCTACAGCAACCATATGATGTCACTCAGTTTTAAGAACGTTTATGAACTGCAGTTTTAAAAATATAGTGTTTTCTCTTTTCCTCCCCCTTTTTTAAAGTTTATAGTTCAGTCATGGGTCTATGGCAGTGGTGGTGAACCTTTTTAGAGCCGCGTGCCCGAAACATTTTTTTTGAAGGGGGACGTGCCCAAAATCTCTTTGATTAAATCCCCATTGGAGAGCAGTTTGCCATGTTTTGCCAGGTAGTGAAATTTGAAAGCTGGCCGTTGTTAGATGGTTTTTTTTAGAAAGATAATTGCAAAACCAACTTTCTGGTAATTATAATTCCTCAATTTCCTTTCAATAAACACCTTCCCGCTTAGCTTCATCAAATTTGGCAACAATTTTGTGGTTGGTGTTAAAGTGCCGTATGACATTAGATGTGCGACACACAACACTTTCCATGCACAAAGTGCATAATGCTTTCCTATTGTGTTCAATAATTCCAAATGATTCTGTCCAGGTCTCTTGAAATGATCTTCTACTATCAATGTTTAATTCTGACTTTTTTGCTGAAGTCATTTGTGAAAGTTCAAGACCTGGAGTATAAAAACTCTACTTAACAATGAAAGTATTAAAACTAACTGGCAGTTTGCAATAAATTTGAATTCATTTCGCAAACATTAGCTGCTTCAACTCTAGCATATTCTTTGCCATATAACAAGATTGACCGAACAATTGAAGTGTCATAAATTAGGTCAATAAATATGTATATCATTTCTATGGTGATATATGAAAATCTTATATCTAGGCTTAGGCCCTATGCCAGTGGCATATTACGAGATAAATAAGTAAATGAAACATTCAAGAACAAACTAAAACACTTATTTAAATTACATAGTATCATTTTATTGTGATTATTGATTAACCGGCATTACTCGCACGAGAAAAATGAACAGGATTGCCTGCGGTTGGTATGACATACCCAGAGCGGTTTCTTCCTCTCTTTTACCATTAAACCTGCACAAAATATAAAAAGAACAAAAACATGGAAGAGAAAATATAGTTTTAAACATATATTAAAAATTTTATCTTTATTTTGCACATTTTCGGCAAATGTATGCCATATGTTCCATGCATACATGTTTTCACATTTTTCCCAGACAAACTTAGCTTTTCTGTCTTTTTTGGCTCCCCATTCAGCACAATTTTTATATGTCGTCTTTACCTTCTTAGCAGGATGTGTATCAGCCTCACTGTTGCCCAATTTTACTTTTAGGCTTTGTAGGAGCATTGCTTGCTGACTTCTTATCTTCTTATAATCTTCTATTACTTGAAATGCCAGTGTTTTTAGAAATGAGCGTCAGGATCGATGCCTAGTCGGTGGTTTCTTTGTTGATAACAAAAATTATGCGTGCATTTATTGCAGCAACATTCAACATGGAATAAAAAAAAAAAGGCCATAGGCCAACGACTTGTTTCTTTAGTCGTTGAATACATTTCAGCCATTTTATCCACGACATCCACAAATTATACTTTTAGCAGAAATTTTAACATTTCCACGGAATTTCATTTTATTTCATTTTTTTTAATATTATTTCATATAAAATAGTCACTTTCATTTGAATCTGAAAGATCGCCCTCTAAATCAGATTTTATTTCAGGCGAAGATTCGCGTTCACTGTAAATTTCTTCATCATCCGCCTCTTCACTACCTCAAGACTTTCTTCATCTGAAGAAACAGTATCAAGTAAATTTCTTAAATGTCGCATTTCTTCATCATAACTTCAAAAACGTACAATAATGAGAGTATGATTTCAATGCATCTACCAGTACTCAGAATTGTAACAGTAATGCTCATGCTGGGTGTGACATACCCTGGAGTGGCAATTACAAGATATCTATTTTTAAAACTCTTCCCTTATTCTTTCCTTCCAAGGTTATGTCCTTGGGTGCAGCTATAAGAAAAATCATCCTTTTTTTTTTTTTTTTTTTTTTTTTTTTAAGGGTGGAGAGAAACAGCGGAAAAACAGAAGGGGTGGGTATGGCATACCTAGTGCAATCAAACCTGGGTTAAGGAAATCATGTTTTAGTTGCGTGCCGACTGAGGCACACGTGCCATAGGTTCGCCATCACTGGTCTATGAGATCTACTAAACAATAAAGGTGATGCTATTAGTTTCTTACAAGAGTATAATATACTGTCGATTAAGCGTCAATGCTCCAATTTCATATTTTGGATTCTAGACTTCATATGCAAAATACTGAGTAAGTAGGGAGCTCATAAAAATAGTAGAACTGGAAATATAAGCGTATGACAAGACACCATTTGAAGTTGTACTTACTGGAGTTCATGTGACAGCAAAATGTAGCACCTTAAAAAAAAAAAAAAAAAAAAAAAAAAAAAAAAACTGAAGCTATTATTTACATTAAATTACTGCCAAAGTTTGATAATTCTCTGTTAATGTGAAAACACCATCCCTTCTAGATAGTCAGCCTTTAAACTTATAAAATACAGAAGAAAAAATTTCCATTTAAAACTTTTTGCATCAGTCATATTCAAAATAAATAATTAAGATATTTAAGTAATTACTACCAGTGGTTAATAATTTACCAGATTTACTGGGAATGAATGGGAAAAACATCAGCCTTGACTTTGAAGATATACTATAAACATACACACACAAAATAAATAATAATAATAATAATTTCAGCTACTGTTTGGAAAGGATCATATTACAATTCCCATTAATAGGAAATTACCTGCTGATATAGTCTTTTTAGGAGAAACTCCATTATTCAGAGCATTGGCCTGGTTCTTTTCACCTGAGGTTCTTCTTAAGCTATTGGCATTTTCCTCCTTTTTCCCCTTTGAATTTTTCTTTGTTTCCTAATAAACACAAGCACTGTAATTGATAAAATCACTTTATCATATTAACTTGAAGAAATTCAGATAAATACAAAAAATAATACATACTCTGTTATCGTTTATCACTGGAACAGCACTAATTTCTTTTGCCCTTTGCAGAAATGAGTTAAATACAGTTCTACTGTTAGATTTTTTTGCTTTATCACAAATTCTTTCATGACGTTCCTGGAATTAAAAACCAAAAATTACATCTAGAAGAAAGAGAAAAGTGCATGAATATAGGCAATTTGAAACAATCATAATATGTATAATATATATAATCACACAATTTTTTTACCAATAATATAATCATAAAAAGAGGAAGATATGACCATTTTATAAGTGAAACACAACAAAATAATTACACAGTGTAATAATTTAAAATAAAATAATTTCAAAATAAAATAAGCATAGCAAATAAATAAATACAGAATTAAATGGGGCATTTCTCCATTGGGATATGTTACACCCAATACACATTTATATACAGCAGTGTTACAAGTATATAAGTGATATGTTTATGTGTGATATATCTGCATAACTGCTGATGCACATTCTGTTGAAGGTATTCGTGGTTCATTTTTTTTTTTACTATTACAACTTCGCTAAATCGAGACGAGCAGAAACTTCGCTAAATCGAGACGAGCAGATGAGTAAAACAGAATTAAAGTTCTTACTTTAACAAAGTATAATCCAAGCTGCAGATGTAAGGAACATGATCATCATATTAGCAAACACAAAATAACACATTTATTAGGTATTAGAAGAAAAAATATCTAGTGATGATTACAAGCGTTGTTTACTGTCCATTGCATAACGCGAGAAGTGAGTCATACAAGGAGAGAATGTTTCTCCTTCTTTTTGGATCAAGTCCAATTACAGTTAGCGGGGGTGAGGGGGAAATTAACATCGGAGTGTACAGCTTCATCGCTGTCATTATGAATTGCTCCACAATCTCCCACTTGATGAGCTGTTCCGTCCGGAGTAAGGCCGATTCCTTTTAACAAAAATTAAATTCCAGCTGTTGTCTGGGCAAAGGTTTCGTGAACATGTCTGCATACATCATTTTACTGTTGCAGTGTTGTAATTTAACAGTTTCTTGATTTTATAGATCATATACGTAGTGATATTTCACATCGATATGTTTGGTGTAACTGCTTCCTTTTTCTTTTCTGGAAAGATTTATGCATGATATATTGTCCTCGAATACGATGTTAGCTTCCTGTTGAGCGAAACCTAAATCTTCCATCAGTTGTCTAATCCATTGTAGCTCCTGCAATGTTAAAGCTAGAGCGATGTATTCGGCTTCTGTCGAAGATAAGGCAACACAATTTTGTTTCTTGCTTCCCCATGATACCGTACTGTTTCCTACTTGAAATATATATATCCGGATGTAGATTTTCTGTCAAAGGTATCTCCTGCCCAATCCGCATCACTGTAAGCTTTGATGACTGGTGCACCATTTGATTTTATGTAATTTGTAATTAAGTTCTCCAAAGTCGTATGATTTTAATGATACCGTTCCAGTCCAATGTTGATGGATTTTCTACTTTTCTGCTAAGTATTCCAACAGAATTTGTTATGTCAGGTCTTGATACTGTTGCTAAATATAAAAGTGCTCCCACTGCTTCCCTATACTTCCGATTATCGGGAAAAATATCATCTTGGTTGTTTTGGTTCTTCGTAAAATTCGTAGTCATGGGTGTATAGCTTAGTTTCTTTGGTGACTCTCCGTCGAATTTTTCGATCATACTCCTAATCTTGTTAGCTTGATGAAGTTTAAAGCTTCCGTCTTTTTCTCTTTCGATTTCAATTCCTAGATATGTAGATACTTCTCCAAGATTTCGAATGTCGAAATATTCTTTGAGAATTCGTTCAACTTCTTGAATTGATTCACGCTTGTCGCTCGCGACTAATATGTCATCAACGTATACGATTATGTAAGTTCTTGCATTTTTCTCGATTAGTGTGAAGGAACATGGATCAGCCTTTCCTTGAACGTATCCTTGTTTGCGCAGGATTTCAGCTATCTTGTGATTCCAGTTTCTGGCTGCCTGTTTCAGTCCGTAGATACTTTTATTCAGTTTACAGACTTTATTTGCTTCTGAAACAGAGATGTAACCTTCTGGTTGCTTCATATATATATATATCTTCTTTCAGATCTCCATATAGAAAAGCTGTTTTTACATCGAAGTGATTTACGTGCATCTTCTTTTGAGCTGCTATTGCCAAGATAGTCCTTATTGTGGTATACTTTACGACTGGTGCGAATGTTTCGTCGTAGTCGTGCCCAAATTTTTGGCAATATCCTTTAGCTACTAAACGAGCTTTATATCTGATAACATTTCCTGAAGCGTCGGATTTTGTTTTAAATGTCCATTTGTTTCCAATTGCTTTCTTTCCTTTTGGAAGATCGACTAGTTCCCATGTTTTGTTCCTCTTCAGTGCTTCCATTTCTTCTTTCGTGGATTTTAACCACAGTTCCTTTTCTTTGGTAGGAAAAGTTTGCAGTTCTTCCCAGTCTTTAGGAACTTTGATTTCTTCATTCTTAGCCATGTATGAGAATCTGTTTGGTGGGATTCCTTTAGTCGTTCTGTCGGATTTTCTCAGTAATAGGGGAATTTCTTCTGTTTCAATTACTTCCTCTGTAATAGCATTTGGATGTGGTTCTGTCAAATTATTTTCTTTAAAAGGCTTTTGACATTTCAATATGTGCATCATATAAAAATAAACCAACGGAACTAAAAAATATTCTGCTTAGCAAGCACAGTAAAACGCTTTCAGTTGGTAAGTAAGTGTTCATAAACAAATCTCGGACTGAACATCAAAATTCATTATCTCTGCAAAATATCGCAAACGTCATTGCGCAATACGTGCGCCGTAATTCTTCCCTACATGATATTACGCAATCGGAATCAACAACTGCCAGTATTGGGAGAATAAAGAACTAAATAACTGGGGTGTTTTTCATTCTAATTTTCAACAGACGGCATTAAATTTCCGGAATAGAATCATTCTTCGCTTGGGTTGGTAGACCGCAGAACTTTTAGTCCTATTCAATCCAGATTGGAAAGTAACAAAAAAAAAAAAAAAAAAAAAAAAAGTCCGTTGCTTGTTTTGCAGTAAACTGTAACAGTTTCAATATTCAAGATTTTGCAGAGAAAGGGGAGACCTCCCAACCTTCGTACTGTATAATATATTGGCCAAAAAAATGAAATTATTTTGACTATTCGATTACTTTCCCTTTATTTAAGCCATTCCGAATATTATTCCTTAGAAAGCTAATTTGTGTTAAAACACAACCATTTTTGGAAGTTTACTATACTTCAGCAGTTACTGCAACTATGTTATTATAAACATTCATACATATGCTCATATAGCATAACGATCATAATAAACACGAATATGAACTGACCAAGCAGAACTAGAATGCAAATTTTTTAAATCTTGATAGAAATTCAAACGTGTGTAGTATTTGGGTGGGAGGAAAAGAATGCCGAATGCAGCGGAATTTTCTACTGCTTTCGCAATTCTTTGACCAATAGAACGACGGGCACCTGTCTGTACTCTTTGTGCACACCAAAGGTTATGTTAATGCAGAGAAAGGGGGAAAAGCTATTTCCGGGAGTATGACTCACCATCTGACATTCCATATTAGGAAGAAAAGTTATTTATTTAGTTTCAGTACGGGGAAAAAATGTGCGTTCATTAAAAAAAAAGGGATTAAAAAAAAGCACTAAAAACAAAAAAATAAGGGCTTTAAAGAAGAAGTAAGCACCTATAAGGGCCTTTATATTTTATTTTCAAATATAAGGACTTATAAGCACTTATAAGGGCCGCTACGAACCCTGTTTGAGAATTCGTCCAACTTCTTGAATTGATTCACGCTTGTCGCTCGCGACTAATATGTCATTAATGTAAACGATTATTAAGTTCTTGCGTTTTTCTTGATTAGTGTGAAGAAACATGGATCAGCTTTTCCTTGAACGTATCCTTGTTTCTGCAGGATTTCAGCTATCTTGCGATTCCAGTTTCTGGCTGCCTGTTTTAGTCTGTAGATACTTTTATTCAGTTTACAGACTTTATTTGCTTCTGAAGCAAAGATGTAGCCTTCTGGTTGCTTCATATATATATATTCTTTCAGATCTCCATATAGAAAAGCTGTTTTTACATCGAAGTGATTTACGTGCATTTTCTTTTGAGCTGCTATTGCCAAAGTAGTCCTTATTGTGGTATACTTTACGACTGGTGCGAATGTTTCATCGTAGTCGTGCCCAAATTTTTGGCAATATCCTTTAGCTACTAAACGAGCTTTATATCTGATAACATTTCCTGAAGCATCGGATTTTGTTTTAAATGTCCATTTGTTTCCAATTTCGTTCTTTCCTTTTGGAAGATCGACTAGTTCCCATGTTTTGTTCCTCTTCAGTGCTTCCATTTCTTCTTTCGTAGATTTTAACCACAGTTCCTTTTCTTTGGTAGGAAAAGTTTGCAATTCTTGCCAATCTTTAGGAACTTTGATTTTTTCCTTCTTAGCTATGTATGACAATCTGTTTGGTGGAATTCCTTTAGTCGTTCTCTGGGATCTTCTTGGTAATAGAGGAATTTCTTCTGTTTCAATTCCTTCCTCTGTTATAGCATTTGGACATGGTTCTGTCAATTTATTTTCTTTAAAAGGCCATTCTATTTCCTCATACTGATCATTTAATTGATGAGGCATTTCTTCTTTTTTGTTTTCATCAAATTTTACGCTTCTTCTGATCACGACGTTGTTTGCATGTGGCATGTAAATTCTATATCCTTTAGTACGGTCATTGTATCCAACAAGAATTCCTTTTTCTGCTCTTTCGTCTAGTTTGCTTCTTTTCTGCTTTGGAACTAGACAATAAGCTGTGCTGCTGAAAACTCTAATATGGCTTAAATTCGGCTTCTTATTATTCGATAGCTCGTACGGTGTTTTTTCAACTGATCTTGATGGTAGCCTGTTTTGTAGATAGGTGGCTGTCATTACGGCTTCACCCCAAAATTCTCTTTTGAGTCCTGAATCGAGTAGCAGGCATCTTGTCATTTCCATTAAGTATCGATTTTTTCTTTCTGCTCTACCATTCTGCTGCGGTGAATATGCTATGGAGGTTTGATGTTCGATTCCCTCTTCCTTTAGATATTCTTCAATATCTTTGCTTGTATATTCTCCTCCATTGTCTCCATTGTCAAAACACCTACGAGTCTCAATTACGAGTCAGAATTACACGTTCGAAGTCACCCAGAGAAAGAAAATTTCAAAACTCAAATTGGTTAGTTGACACAGGTGCTACTTGTCATATGACCAATAACATAAACTTTTTCACCAAATTAGATAGAACCAAAACTGAGCAAATAACAATTGCTAATGGTACTCAAATGAAGTCCGAAGGTATAGGAGAAGGTACTTATACTGTACAGACGACGAAGATAATGAAATAGAAATGAGTCATTAAATCTGCTAAGCCTAACTGTGGAAAAAAATTCGTATAAATTAAATTTGTCTTCCAATTTTTGATACATTATGAGAAGAACATTAAGGTAGTTGTCAGAATTAATTTTAAACCTTTATTGTTATCTTTTCCTTAAAAATTTTATAAAATACTCATTCTACAAGAATATAATTTTACCTTTAAATCACAAATAAATATATATGGAAAAGTATCCAAACAATCGCTGATTTTATTTAACACAACACATAATTAAAATTTAAAAATATTAAAACCGTCTTTCATAAAAATTCAATGTGCAAACAACGAAGAGGAAGCAATATTTCAAAAAAGACACAGTGTATGATATTCTTTGAACCATGGGTGTACGAAAAGTCTAACATTGCAAATGTCACAGGAATAGAATATCAGCAAATTTGACTCATTTAGCATTTGTGTTTCTTCTACGGTCAGATAGGGCTTTCGTTTTTCCCTTAAAAAAAAACAGAACACCAGCAACAGAACATTAAAAAAAAAAATTCACTAAGCCATACAAAATATTCATCTCAATGCCGGAAAAATCTAATAGTCTCTAATGATAGAATATCTACTCCACTATACGGGAATATAAAAATAAAATAAATTAATTAAATTAAAAAGTATTCCAGAGCATCAAGAACATGTTCATTTGTTTATATGAAATGACGCAGTAAGAGCCATCACGTTACTCAACACTAACGAATTAGCATTTGTGTATATTCTTCTACGTTCAGATACCTATATCACAAAAATAAAAAGTACCTCAAAGCATGGAGAACACGTGCATTTGTTTATAACAAATGATGCAGACATTGCTCAACACCTACCCATGAATCTCCCTCTCATTCCGAAACAAAATACCAAAAATAAAAAAACATTGCATAGGAATGAAGGTACACATACTTAACTTCCTATATAGTTCCCCATAACAGACATACAGCTACATTTAGCGGCAACAAAAAATACTAATTAAACATTCTATCTAAAAAGTTAAATGCGGTATGCCCAGCCTTACAGTGAATTAAATGGTGATTCAAATATGACACACCCGGCCGTGAGGTAATGTTCGCTGCTGGTGCACATATGACACGCCCGTACTGAACGGGTTAATATAGGACCACTGCTCTGTCACATTACGATAATTGTAAAAAATTTCTCTGCTATCTACTGTAAAGCTGTAACAAATATTCAAAGCAAATGACACTACCGCTGTTTCAAAACTGTTGAAAGAAATCAGAGCTTGCAGAGACTTTATTCATGTGAAGATATTCAAGTAATTATTTTTATTATTCAGTAATTATTTGCCTAAAGCGCGTTAGCCCAGAAGTGCTATTAATTTCGTTTTGGCATTGAAAACTTTAAATGTCCATTTCACTTTTCAAATTGTTGCCACCAAATATTATCGCCCAGTGTTATATTTAGAGAAATAAATTCATGAAGAATCTGCATAAATATATGTATCTATGTTTCTCTCAGTGTGATAAAAGAACATTACCTAGATTGTGATAAAACAACGGTACATTTTTATCTCCAGCATGCAAGACTGTGCACTGGAAACTCTAAAGTTATGCTCATTTTAAATTTATTTTACGATATTGCTGTTGAATTGAATTTTACGATTTAAGGGCAAATGATAAAAATGCCATTTAATACATAAAGGTAACACACAAAATGTTAAAAAAAAGGCCCCTTTGGGCATAATGTAAAATCTGAAAGCACTCAGATTTTTAGTACTACTCTTATGTATTGCATCGCCAAATGTGGTGATATGTGTTCTGCACTGTTTTTTGGCACGACTGTATGTTCTGTGATGGTTTTCGGTGTAATGTTATTTGTATGGCAACCCTTTTGACATTGAAAGTTAATTTTGCTGCAGTGGTTTTATTTGCTGGTTGGCTTGGTGGGCGTTTTTGAAATGGCTTATGTTGCAATGAAAGAAGTGGTGGAAAATTTCAGTCCCATATTTTGGATTGTGTGCAAGGTAAAATCATTTCTTTTGACATTTTAAATCACAGAAAGATGTGCGATATAGCAAAATCATGGCACTTTTGTTCACAGACGTTGTGTGACTGGGGAAATTTTATTCACGAACATATGCTGGACCTTGTATGCTCTGTATCTCAGAAGATGGGGGGAAGGATAAAGAGGTGGAAAGTGATAAGATTTGCTGATGTTTGAAATTGATATTTTTGCTGTTTGAAGAAGCATTCACAATGTTAAACGCATTTTATTTTATTGTTATTCTTATTTTGTAGAATGTTATTTTCATTTTTTTTGTATGAATTTCTCACAATGGTAAGTGTATTTTATTTTATTGTTGTTCTTATTTTGTAGAATATTATGTTCATTGTTTTTTTATATGAAATTTCTGTCATTATCGTTGTTTTTTGAATTGTTTGTAATTTAGTTTAGTTTATTTTGTTGATTTGTGTACAATGCTGTGGCTGTGCGCGACACCTACATTGTGCAATTCTCTGATGTTTTTTAAGTTAAAACAGCAAGCTGTGTACATAGAACTGTTTAAATTTATTGCTGTTATGTTAGTTTATTTTAGCGAAGTGTGCATAATTCCTAGGTTGCACAGATTGTGCAGTTCTCTGATTTTATTTCAAGTTAAAACAGATCACGGTGTACATGGATCTTTGTCAAATTTATTTTTTTTTTTTTTTTTTTTTTTTTTAAATTTTTGGCATAAATTGTGTGTTAAAAACAAGGTTTTTACATGCGCAAAAACTGCGGTTTTGTAGACATTTTAGAATTAAAGTTCAAAATGTAGACAAAAAATTTAGATAGTAATATAGTGCCATGGAGTTTCTTGCCAAAAATGTTTGACAAGAAATTTGTCGCCAACTGAGGGCGTGTATAAGTAGTTCTACATTTTTTTTATTTTATTAATCCATTTTCCCTCACATTTTGAAAAAATGATTAACCTTTGGGATTGCATGAAGTGGAGTATTTTCAAAGTTACATGATCCAAGCATTAACAAAAGATGCAAAACACAACTTTCAAAAAAGGTAAACAATGGCAGAGCAACACAAAAAATTATGATAGGCAATTTAAGTTTTCTGTATATATTCATAATTTGTATATCTGTTTATTATGTAACTAAATAAAGAACAATCTTTTTGTTTAAACTTTTGCTAGAATGATAAGCAACATATCCACCAACTTTCATGTTTGACAAATTTTTATAATCAGATCAGACGTTTTACTTTAAGGCCTGCGAAATACATCTGCTTTTATGTCTGAAACAGAATTTTTTTTTGCAATCTTACATAATTTTAAACGTGGGCTTTAGATATTCATGTTAACAACAAATAAGATGACTGTTTTTATAATTTAAAACAGAAATTTTTCTCATATATTTGGCTTTCACAATGTGAATTATCTTTTTTATTCATTCAACTATCAGAGTTTCCATATCTCTGCAATTGGGCATTTCCCAAGCTTTCCAGATACTAGTTAAGCTTTTACTGTAATTTTAAGCAGAAATTTCAGTTATATTCTTTAAGATTGCTGTTTCAGTCTATGATCGTTTCATCTATAATACCCAGTTCTTGGCATATTCTGACTGGCATCTTCTTACACCAACAGCAAATAAATCACAGAGCTTTTACACATGTGATCCAGCTTCATTTAAACCAATTTTTTTTTTATTCTGATTCTTATTAACTATCAGCTTTTTGGGGGGAGGGGGTATACATCCATAACATTTTTTCTTTAAGAATATTCCGTGAATCTGAAAAATGAGGTTAACTTCTTTTCTATTACCTGACGTATCTTAGAAATGTATTCAGAAAATTATGTAGAATTTAATGAAGGTAATAGAAGAGGGCAGCACATGATTAAAATAAGATGGATATAATTGAGGGCATTATTAGAAAAAGGCAAATATATATTGCAAGTTATGGTCATATCTTAATGCTAAATGAAATTCTTGATATCAGTTAATAAGTAAATATATCCTTTATTTTATTTATAAATTTCCTCATTCAATACGAAGATAACAATATACTTTTTTAAACTTCAAAACTACATGAACATGAAAATTAGAAATAAAGAATACTGTCTTTACCAAAGATTTAGGATTGAAAGTACGACCACATATTTGACAGGATTTCAACAGCAATTGATCAACAATTTCAACTTCAAATCCTATAAAAATAAAATTTTTACAAGAATTAAAAAATATTGTTATATGTACCTTCATTAAGTAAATTTCTGCAAAAGCTCATTGAATAAAATTACAGTCAAATATTTTTTTTAAATGTCTGTATTTAATAATAAAGATGCAAAAAAATATTTAATGAAGCAAATGCATATTTTTATATGCCATATATGTTATTTCAAAACTTATTATATAGCTGTTAAAATACTTAGCAAAAAAATTAATACCTCAATAATTCTAACTAAATTTAATTTTTTTTAAAACTTTAATACCTTCAATTTCATATAACCATCAAAAGTATAACATTTAAATTTTGGCATAAAAGTAAATTTATCATAATCATAAAGTAACAAATACTTCAAAAGGCCTTTCTCTCCTTCACAAGTGAATAACAAAATTTTCAAAAAAATAATATGGTCTAATAATAAAAAAATAATCATTTAAAATTTATATATAAAACATAATGATTAAATAACATAAAAAACATAAATGATTTTTTTTTTTTTTTTTAAATTTCATCCCTATTTCAGAATCAAGCCTTAACATTTAAAGTATTAATTGTTCAGCTTGCAAAACCTGCACTAATTACGAGAGCAAAACTGGATGATAAGCAAATTTCTTGATAAAATGTTGAAAGACCAAAATTTGTTGTACAAGGTAACTTTATAACAGAAAAGATACTTGAAATATTTAAACATATTTTTATTGCTTTAGTCCGAAATATAATGACTTTGAAACTCCTGATAGTCAAGCTATAAAACTTATTTAAAAGCCTTATTTCAGATGTTTTTTTTTGGGGGGGGGACTTCTAAACTTTAGATACTACAAAGTGATTCTTAACAAACAATTTTATAACATAATGATTAAAAAAAAATAAAAATTATTCAAACTATCAAAGTAATCAAAAATTTTTTCCACTATGATTTAGCACAAATATATCACTTATTCATTAACCTTTATCAGTAGAATTGGCTAAATATTATTCACTAAAATTTTATTTATAAACATTACTTCAAATAAAGCTGTCTTTCATTCTACATTATAATAGAAATTATAATATAATTGGTAATTTAACTAGCATTCTAGCTTTGTGATATAATGCAGAATAAAATTATTGTTGAATTAAAAAACATACCTAAAATTTTAATGAAGGATATATTTCTAATGAAACCTTTCTACAAAGAATCATTAATCATTTGGAAAGGATCCCGAATTGCTGGGACTTAAGCGATCCTCGATTTTGGAAATTTCTGGGTTTTTAGACCATCATTTTAAATCTAACATGTTTATATATAGAAATTACAAATTAAAAATATGAAAGCTTCTTTGAAAAACTTTTATAAATTTATGATTTCAAAGGAACAAAATTTACAGGGTAAGGGGAAGAACATCAATGTTAACAACTGTTTTGTTTCATTAACAATTTTTTCAGCAATTTCATTATATGTGTAAATACTTTTATTTATTTTCTTGTTCACTTACAAAGTTTAACTCTAAAGTCCTATAACTGCAGAATTGAAAATTCCTATTAAGTAATCAATTGAATTTCTTTCATTCTCATTAGCCTCTTTATCACTTCCTTCACAACTGGCAGTGATATTTACTGGATTTTAAACCATACTACATATTTTACCAACATTTAACTGAATTATGATTGGAATATTATTATAGCAGCCTTCTTCTCCACTATGCCAATGGAAGAAAACCAGTATGAGTAACATTCTACTGCACACATTGGTCTTCCAGGTACAGAGCTAGATAATATGACAAAATATTGTCCCTTCAACCATTCCAGAGCCAAATATAAAAATAAGATTCACTAACCAGAAGGTATTTAAAGCCAAAATAACATGCAGGGTGATTTAAAAAAAAAGTTTTATGGGAGGTCCAGGTTATAGATCATTTTGATAAATGAACATTCAGAATTTGGACTTTTTTCTGTATTTACCTCAAATTGACAGCTTATTTTAGCACAAATTGTAGGGATAAAAACAGTATCATTAATTTATCTATCAGATGTCATCTGCAGGCTGCAGATACATTTGTATTGCAGTACATGAATTTGCTATTTGGTTTCAAACAGAAAGGCAATTTTTAATTTCATCACTTAAATCCAGGAACAGCAATCAATAGTTTTATGGCTTGATGAAGATGAATTCAGTAATAAGATGAACAGACAACATTGGGCTCTGCTCTGATAAATGATTGTGGTGGTTTACTTGGTTTTCGAATTCCTACTTGCCCAAATCCAACTTTAACAACCTTACACTATTCATTTTGAATATTATCCACTTAACTAATTGTATTATATGTAATTACAAATCATGATTAATTTTAAAAAAACAACTAAATATGGAAAATATATGGCAGTTATTACATAATACTCAGAAAAAATGAGACAAGGTTGGGGGGAGAATGCTTTGATATCCTTAACCCGCGAGAACACGCACCCCTTTTCGAGCATGAGAACTCGTGCCAGGTATCTCATACCCTAGCTCACTTGTGCTATTGAAATATCAATTAATACTGTTAAGAAAACCTTATGTAATTAAATATTATAAAATAATACATTAAAGAAGTTTAGTGAATTTAATTATGCATATGTACATATTTAAAGATAATTTTGACAAACTACATACTGATGTTCAACACAGACTTATTTCACATTTTTGGCACATAAATTTGGGATTTTTCTATCCTTATTACATGGACAAAATGCACATCGTTTATAATTTGCTTTGAGATTTTATACAGGCGGTTCACTATTATCGATTTCCAGTTCCTTAGAAGTGCTTAGAAGTTTCAGGCTTACGGTTTGTGTGTTGTTGTGAAAGAACGAGTTCCAGTGTTTAAAAAGAAACGTCTGCTTCTGAACTGTGTGGTAGGACGTTTCGTGGACATCAACAAATCCTGATATTAATAACAGCTTCATTCAACATGTAAAATAAAATAACCATTAGCCAAGTGATTTTATATCCTTGCTGTAGTGTATGCTGGAGCCATTTCGTCGACAACGTCCACATCTCCTTTCGTAAGATTATAAAGCATGATGATATTTGTTTTTTGTTACAATTCCATGGTGGTTTCATCTATTTTATCATCAGTATGATTTGTAGATAACATAATTACATTATTGTTCTTTTTTGCAGAATCCGAAACAATTGTTGTTTCTTTTGAAACCCAAAGACTGAAAAGTACAGCTTCTTTTTTTAACCAAAAATCCAGGCGGTATTTCTCTTTTATTTTGTGTAAGTATGCGTCCAGAATTGAAAAGCTGTGTCATCAACCGCATCACAATGGAATTTGAGTTACAGTCTATTTTGAATGGTCCATCAAGTTGTTTACTGCCATAAATCTCCATATTCCAGGTATAAAATACTCTAAAATCTACTAGTGCAAATATCTTGACAGTATACTTAGGCTTTTTGGGCACATCTACTGCCTGAATCTGCACCACAGAAAATATTTGATGCATCTACGGGAGAAGCGACATCTCTTGAATAAGCTGTATTACCTGGAAGCTTGCTAATTATATTCCTTGAAGGCTTCCTAACATTTTGCCGGTATTTTTTCTTCTGCCATTTTGTAACTTTATTTTTACCAATATAAAAATTGGTTGTTGACAGTGAACTTTCATCTTCTGTTTCTATCTCAATTTCCTAATTGAATAAGAATCGTAATTGCTACAGTATTCTGTGCTTCTTCAGAGGCAACTCTATCATCAGATCATCATCACTAGAAACAGTACTGATAAGGTGTTCAAAATATTTATTTTCTTTGTCATAATTCAAATAGCGCATCATAATTCACTAAGCTGACCGAAAAAAGGAAAAATCTGACTGACGGGACTAGCATGAGTATAACATAACCCCGACACCTGTATCTCAAACTCTATTTTTAGAGCTGAACTAGTTTTTTCACTGCTGAAAGAATGTGACCTTGAATACTAATGCAAAAAAGGATACTAATAGTAAATAACTATTTAAGATTGATGTTTTAATTTAGATGAAAGGTTAATTTCATATAACACTTTTTTAATATTTAATTTATATGAAAAAGGCTTAAACATGACTGAATGAAGCATAAGAGTAAATAACTATTTCAGATCATTATAAATTTATATAAATTGCTAAATATAACTGAATGGATGCCTGCATCGCTATTTCGCTACCGAGTTATCGCTAAGCATAATTTCATCGTTGGTGGTGTTCAACATAATTTTCTGTAAGAATGATGCTTTTCTTTGAAAAAATTTCGGGTAAAGTGCAGAATCACCACTTATTTGTTTGCCGCTTTTTTCAAGGGTAAAAATAATTGGATTTTTATCAATTTTCTTTTGCTTTTTAAGTGAAAATAGGCCAATGTGTACATAGATAAAGTTAAGGGTGAGAGCTGTGCCATTTTTGTGCAATTCTGGAAATTTTTTTTTTTTTTTTAGTGAAAATAGGTCGATGTGTACATGGATACCGAGTATGTGCAATTCTTGAAAACGCATCAAGCAGTCAGTGATTCTGCACTTTACCCAAAATTCTATTGTAGATTTTTCGTCATGGGCAATTCCCTAATTGTTAAATACATAAGGTACCAAAAAAGGATATAAAAATTAAACTAGTATTTCAATGGCATCTTAAGAAATATAGAACTATATAAACTTAGGCAATCTGAAAGCAGTGCGTACGCTAGATTTGGCATGCTGTTAAATGGGCGGGTTTGCTAGATTTGGCGCTTTTGCGCATACATTTTCGCTGCAATTTTTTTATGGTCCTCAAAACAGAATAGTACCTAATTAAATAGATTTGATATTTTGTCACTGAATTTAGCACATGATATTAACACTTTTGTTACCCTCTGAGGGTATGGCTTTTTAGATCTATTCATGAAGACCTATATTTAAAGAACTACAGTTAAAAGTCTTTAATCCGGACTCGTCAGGACTTCGGCGATTCCGGATTATAGATCATCAGTTTAAATCTGGTAAGATGGCATGCAGAAATTTAAAATTAAAATATGAAATGAATTTATGAAATAAAGAACAATTATGATATAAAGGTATCAAAAATTTACAAAAAAAAAAAAAAAAAGCGTAATATTTATTTGTTTACTTTATTAAACATTTCTTTCATAAGTTGTTTCGTTTTCAATAACCTCTGTATCCTTTCTTCTTTATCGGAAGCCAAATTAAATGACGAGGAATTTGATTTAAATCAATCAAAGACAGTACATCGAAGAAATACGGGTTGATCTTTAAATATGGTAACTGGAGTTGGCGACATTTTGAAGCGATAAGGTTATACCGGACTTTGGTACAATGTGCAGAAGTTCAGTTCTGCTTCGCAATTTGTGTGAGGGATGAGAATCAGGGATGTCAGTGATATAAAGGGCGAATTACGGTTCTTGAATTGGAAAAGGGGGGGAACTCGGGAACAAATCTGGAAATTTTGTTTGGTTTATTCTGTGTTGTGTGAACAGTGTTCGTGAATTTTGGATCCCATGCCGAACTAAGAAAAGTTTATGGACCAGATCAAGATATGAGAAGATTAGGTAAGTTAGTATTTTTAAATTATTTGAGGATATTATTTTTATGCATTGTTCTAAAGGTGTAAGGTGAAAGGAAATTTTGTTTATTGAAAAATTGTATAGCAATGATTTAGTTTAAAGTAATTGATTGTAAGGTAATTTTTATTATTTAATGTATGTGCTCATTATATTTTAAGTAGTGTTTGAATTTACTTATTTTATGAAATGATAGTTATTGTGTGATTTAGTTGAAGAATGGTATCTTAAGTTGAAATAAAGTGCATGAAATAATGTAAATATTTGATATAATTTGTAAGCTTGCGTATGATTCGTTGGGACGTCTAGACTGTAATAATGATTTAGAGGTAAAAGTTTCTGGATATTTTATTATTTATATGTGGAAATGTTCATATTTGTAAAGGGTAAATACTTTTTCGCGATCAGGTAATTTCATATATGTTCTTTTTACCGGGTTTAAAGATTGAGAAAATTGTCATGTATTTTCGTGAAATTTTCTAATTTATGAGAAAAAAAGCAGTGTACATGGATATAGTGAAGAGTGTGCGCAATGCCATTTTTGTGCAATTCTGGGATGTTTTTTAAGTAAAAATAAGTCGCCGTGTTACATGGTTTATGTGTATGTGTTATTTTGAAAAACGCGTAAGGAGTATGTATTGTGCACTTTTTCCCAATTTTGCAGTGAATATTTGTCATGATTAAGCAGTTTTGTTGATAAAATTTCTAGCATATGTGTAATTCGGCTACTAGATGTTGGAAGAAGTGTTCAGTAGATAAAAAGAAAAGAAACATGTCCTTACTTCGTGAAGACAAAATGGCGGCGGGGAAAAAAAATAGAGGGTTGCTGTAGGAGAGTTGGTCGCCAAATTTTCGCCAAAAAAACGCCAAGTTACCATAATGTAAAGATCAACCAAATACTGCATTTAGTAAGAAATTATAAGCCAAATAAAATAAAAACATCTGCCCTGAAGGTAAGGATAGTGCTGATAGATTAACTTCCAATTCATTGCGCGCCGTAATTGTAACCAGCATATCACACACTGAAGAATACACAATAATATGATCTCGATATCAACATTAATGTAAGAAATGTAATCTAAATTAAAAACTGGATAAAATTCAAACTTAGACTAGCAATCATTTAGGGGGGAAAAGCTGGATATTTCAGAGAATGATGAATTAATACATGTCTTCTTTTAAGACACAGGCACTGTTCCTATTTATTGCTTAGTGTCCTAGTCCTATTTATTGCTTTATTATCACAAAACACTGAATACTGACAGCTTAGATCTGGCTACGAGTGACAGAACAATGTGTAGGCATTTCCTTGGTTTCTCTATATGTTTAATGCAAGTGTATGCTTTACAGAACATCGCTACTTACAGAATAATTAAATAATTAAAAAAGAGTAAAGACATTGAAAAGAGCACAAAATTATACAGCTCCAGTTTCAGTTCAGTAGTTACGCATTGGAAACAATAATATATCAATGAAAATATAATAGCGTTTGAAATAATATACACATTTACAATTCAGACTTTTTTTTTTTTTTTTTTTGTTAAAGTTATTTCTTAAAAGTTTCTTTCTCACAATTCTTTATTTCTTGGTTTTAATCCTTAAAAATAACACAACTTTTTAAGTTGCAAAAACTTTAAAATTTTATTTCAAAAATTCTGTTGCAATTTTTCTGTTATAATTGATTAAACAAATGTCAAACACTATCAATAATCTATACATTAATATTATACAGTTCTGATAGAAACTGATAAATTACCTCCGCTTTCATTAGCTAATTCATCATTAGCAGACAACGACATTGACTTGCTCTATATTAACTTTTTTATTGTCACATATTCATGCAAAGAAGCGTATACAGTTTGATGAACTACTGAAGTACCTTTATTTTCCGCGGTTGAGGCACCTGTTTTGAACTTTTGACAGCCTAAGGAGGTGCGACCTGGAGGCTAAACCCTGCCGGGAAGTGAAGAAAATCAATCAGAAATACGCGACATAGATATAGTAATACTAGGGATTTGGGGACAATTTTCTTTTCACCGAAAGCAATTTTCGCAAAATTTGTAACAAGTTAGGGCTTGTTAATGTTTTAGCAACTTTCGTCACTCTTCTTGGGTAGTAGTAGTTCATTTTGTTTTAGTTATTATTTTGTGGTACGCTGATATGATGCGCATAATACCCATGCCTGCTTAAGAATGAAAATATCCACCATTCATCAATAGTTGATAACAGTTGTTCCCTTTGCCATGTACTACTTCTTAATCAGTGAGATCAGAATCTTCGTTGATCCTAAGGCTCCTAGATTTTTTACATATAAGTCAGCTACACGAACACGCAATCGAACAGAAAGTAAAGAAGCAGTGCTAAATAGTTTACAAAAGAAAAAGAGAAAAAAATGATACAAAGGATTTTAGTAAATTAATTATCAAAAGATATGATGAAAAAGAATACAATGAAGTCAATGATTACCATTACATAAAATGTAAATCAAAGAACTACAATAAGAAACAATTAAAATTAAGCAAGCATTTAAAGAATAGAAGGAAATATTTCATAAAGCAAGGGACTATGGATTAGATTATCCCGTCAAGAAGATTATTAGTCTGTTGACATTATGCCCAATGATGTCAATATAATTGTTAAACAATGTCTGTGAATAAAATTAAAAATATAATCAAATAAATGTCAAGGGGATTAGAATAACTATTCTAACCACATTAATAAATTCAGAAAATGAATAAAAATAGCCTTCCATTTAGCCCAAATTTGGTTGCACGAGGTTTGGCAGCATTCTCTTTATTTACTGTGTGCAAAATTGCTAATTTTTTAACGGGAGAGTGCCCACCCTACTCAAGGAATGAGAACAAAAAACCTATAAAGATCATTCAACAGATCATGATTCCCCAACTCAATCAGGTGGGGAGAATATCTCTTCTCCCAAAATAAATTGAGCAATACTAAAAATGACTTCGACTATAGCTACTGTTTGTGTTTCTCTTCTTGCTTGTGTCTCAAGGGCTTTTGAAGTTTTTTTTTTTTTTATTATTTTTTCATAACTTATTGGTCACGCTATTGTTAGGCAATTAAGATCATTTATCCCTGTAAGACAGCCGAATAGAATTTCATACTTATGTTCCTCTTTACGTGAAATAGGTATGAAGAATTTCTGTCTTGTGTCCTGATTTAAATGATCTTATTGAAGACATGTTGAAGAGTTCATTTACAATATTTACATATTTAAATTTCGTTTGTAATAATCGGCGATATTTGTTTATTGGTAGCATTTGCACCAGTTGTTAAAAATCCGGATTGCACATTTGCGATTAGTAAAACATACTTAAAATATGTGTATGCGTAAGGAGTTGAATATTTACCCTCGCAAAAATTTCGATTTGTTACGCTTATATTCATGAAAATTTTCTTTTAACATTTTTATATTATCATTTATTTGCATTTTATATATAATAATCTTTATTTTTATTATTGTCTAGTATAATGATCACTGATAGCTTTGATGTAACATATAATTTAAATTAAGGAATAGTAAAATCATGTGTATGGACTAAAAAGAGAATTGTTTTATAATAAATTTTAATACTCTTGTTTTATTTTTAAATTCAGGAAATTTCTTTAAATAGATTAATGTTTTTATACCTGCTTTTTATGTGTTTTGTGTGAAATTATTTTAATATTAAAATAGAAACATGGATTATTATGTATTCCAGTCAGTGGAAATTTAGGAAATAGATATTAAGTGTACTATACACAAACATTATTATACAAAATCAGTTAATTTTAATGCATTAGTTCTTTTTATTTTAATACTTTACAGCTTTGAAATATTATGAGGAAATATTATTCCAGCTATTTTTAATCTGTACTTAGAGAAAAAATTTGAATATTTATTTTTCCAATTTATGCACATTTATTACAGTTTTTTTAAATATTTTTAAATGGTTATTCTTTTACTGCTAATACCACATTATTTTGAATTTAAGCTGAAGTAGTATTTTAAATGTGGAAAATCAAAAATAAAGAAATTAAAAAATAGCTTGCCTCAGATTTAAATCCAGTAGGATTTAAAAAATTTATGTATTTTATTAGGTACTAATACAAGTACAATAAGCTACCTAATTTATTTAGAATCCTTCAGTTTTGACATCCCTCACTTTCAGATCTTAAAACTGTAAACTCATATCAGAGCATTTCATCTTCACTGCCATGCAAATCATTAGCAATGCAGTGTTTAAAAAAAATAAAAAATACATTGGAGAACAGAATGTCAGCCGATATAAGATGTTAAAATATTCACTTTAAACTTAAGCCACACCCTAATTTTATATCTTAAAAACCTGAATAAAAAGTGGTGATTAAATTTAAAATTGCGCAGTATATACATTATGCCCACAAAAGTCCTTACCCAGCATTCATTTTCACAACTGTTAACCTTAGTCATATACTTTCAGTCTCTGAAATTTTTAAAATAATTCAAAAATTCTTGTTTTGCCGTTTTAAATTTTAATGACATCAGTTTTTCTAAAAATTACAAAAATCTAACATTTTACATATTCTTCTGGCCCATATACTTATATTTAGGAAAATTTTATACCTGTCATAAAAATTAAATAAAAAATGTTTCATTTCCATATGATAAAAATTGAGCTATTTGATATTAAAGTCAAAACTCATATTCACGGCCCATTCACAAATCAAAGAGCAAAATGTTTGCATTTGCATGTAACTAAAAATATCAGTGCAGAAAAATTTTTCTGGTGTTAAAACATTAAATGATGAACATTCCAACCCTGGTTGTTGGAAAATTATTAATCAATACTTTTTTTTTTTTTTTTTCAAAATGGAGATCTTATTCATAGAATCTTGCAGAATTTGTGTTCTAGAAAACACTGAGTGGCTTCAGTAGTAGCACACTGCCAGCTTGTAACATTATTTGCAGTAATTAAAAATTAAAATATTTTTAGTTTAATTCATTGTTGTGTGATTATCAGATTATAGTTTAAAAGTTATAAACATTCATGAAAATATTAATAGGCAGATAGCCTTCGAGTGCTCCGCCATAATCAAATAAACCAAGCCAAAATAAACCTTCACTTGTGTAAAAGTGTTCATCTAGAACAGGGGTCTCCAAACTTTCCAGCCTTAGGGCCATACTGATTACTCCAGTAAGTTCCGAGGGCCAAAAACCATATATATTGTGCGGTGGTAAAAGTGAAATAGTCCACTGATGAAAAAAAGTCCGAAAAGGTACGCAACGTTAAAAAAGGCTGCAAATCGGACTAAAGTCCGCAAAAGGCAACACTGCATATTATAATTTTCCTGTCATTATCTGTAATTTCTAGATTAGTCGTAGAGTACGAGCCATGAGGAGTAACGTGACACGACATCTGGTGGACACAAGCGGAAATAGGTAGTACCCTATCGCTAACAGATGGCCCTAATAGCACGTACAGAAGTCAGTTCCTATGACACTGTTGTGAAATAAAAATAGTGCGTACCTCCTTAAACGTGTTTGTGCGTGTTTAAGTTTTAAGACATCTTTGTAACAATTTTATTTGAATTGTTGCTTTGTGTGTGATTTAGTGTATAGAAAAGAAGCGAAAATGATAGTGAATGCAGAAAATTCAAAGATCAGTGGAAACATTCAGTATTTCGATTGATCCAGTAACAAGGCGCTATGTTTGATTTGCAATGAAAGCATAGCCGTTCTCAAAGATACATTAAAAGTCATTATGAAAAAACCATTTTCAAAATTACTCAAAATATACAGGAAGTTTGCGGACAGAAAAATTCGAAAGCTATGAAGCGCGGATTGAAATCGCAGCAATCTTCATTTACAAAACTCAAAACTGAACAAGAGCTGCAACTCGTGCCAGCTTTCGTGTGGTTCTTGAAATTGCAAAACGTGGAAAACCATTAACCGATGGAGAAATGATCAAAGAATGCATAATTGCAGTAGCCGAAGAAATAGCCCTGAAGGTAAATTTTAAAAAAACTGTCAGTAGTGCAAACACTGTGGATCGAAGGTAGAAAAACATCGCTGAAACTATATCCTCTCAACTGTTCGACAAAAAGGACATGTTGATGGTTTTCTTTGGCCTGGTAGGAGTCAACGGAGTGTCAGGTACTGCTCAGGTGTTGATTTATATTCGAGAGTAGATAAAAGCTATGAAGTGCATGAAGAACTTCTTGATATTAAGTATTCATGGCACAACTACTGGTACAGATATTTTTAAAGGAGTTGAAATGGCCATAATCAAAGAACCTTCGATGGAAAAACTTGAAAGTATTACAACTGATGGAGACAAAACATGAGTAGGAAAGATAAAGGAGTGGTCGCTCTTGTGTCAAGGCTAGAAAATGACGGTGTTCAAACCATTAGTCTTACACTGTAGCATCATCAACGTCTTTGTGCGGAAAATGTTTGGATATGTCTGAAGTTCTGAAACCAGTCATATCAACTGTTAATTTTATCAGATCTTTTGGGTTGAATCACCGACATTTATTGAAGAGATTGGAGAAAATGACTTACCCTTATCATAACTGCCGTACGTTGGCTTAGTTGTGGGAAAGTCCTTCAGCTTTTTTGAACTTCGAGCAGTGATCGAAATTTTTTTGAATGAAAAGCATCACCCTCTTACTGATTACAAAACAACGCATGGCTTGAAGTTAGATTCTATGTTGATTTGACAAACATGTGAACGAACTGAATTTGAGATGCAAGGAGAAAACCAGCATCTTCCTGATTATACACTAATATCAAATCATTCGGAAGAAATTGATACTGTTCAATCACAACTACGAAGTAATGTTTTCACATTTAAAAATGTGAAATATTCAGCCACACCACTGAGACTGAGTTTCCTATCGATTTTGCAATCAAACTTTGAGTGCTTTGAAAATAAATTTTGATACTCGTTTCTCGGACTTTGACCATTTCGAATCAATTAAGATTTTTCAGAATCCTTTGATACTGACATTGAAAACCCTAGCCCCGGAACTTCAAATGGAAATAATTGATCTACAGTGCTGATATAATTAAGAACAAATATCAAACTCATCTTTGTTGGAATTTATAAGAGTCTTCCACTGACACAATTTGATAATTTGCATAAATTTGCTCGTGGCTTTTTCTGTTTTGGTACTACTTATTTGTGTGAGAAGACCATCTCCAAAATGAAGTACGCAAAAAATGTTTACAGATCTAATTACTGATGAGCATCTTAAATCTCTTTAATATTGGTACAAGTAAAATTAGTCCCAACTACAAACTATTGTCATGGAAAATCTCAATTACATAATCTTATTAGTATTTCATATGTCATTATGCTTGTTATAAGTTAGTTTTTATTAAAATTATAGAAGTTAGTTGGATTCATTTCAATAATTTGTTAGTTTATTATATACTGAAGTTAAATTTTTCTGCATATTATACATGTCTTTACTCATTACAGTTCTGTGTTTCTTTATCCAACTTATCACAAAAACAATAACAATAAGCCTACAACAATGTTATGAGTAGTTAGCCCACGACCATATCAATGTAGATGTCATATTAATAATTATTCAACATAAAATTAGAATACTTCAGTAAACTAAATTTAATTTGCTATAAAAAATATGTTCTCTAAAAGGAGTTTTCAAGTATGCTAGCTCTCCGCGAGCCGGATAAAATCTGTCCGCGGGCCGGATGTGGCCCTCGGGCCGTAGTTTGGAGACCCCTGATCTAGAATAAGGGTGAAACAAAGTGAAAACATTTCTCACTAAATCTTTTTCTCATTCATCCATATATTAAAAACATTGTGATGTTTTCCATTATAAATTTTTTTTTAGGAAACTAGATTCAGTGTTTTTATTGACTTCTCATACTGTAAAATACTGTATCTTCACCATTACAAAATCAAACAGTTCCTGTGTGTTTTCTAACAATTTATTTAACTTCTCTGACATTAGAGGCACTAATCTTCTTCACTAAACTGCTTTTACCATCAGCTGGTGTTATAGGATCATTCAATTCTTCGTTTGTCATTTCATGATCATCATTCTTAATTAATTCTTTGATTTCTCCTATAACAGAAAATTCTTCCCTCCCTCATTGTTTTTGAGATTTGTATGATTTTTTTCTTGGCTTCATTTTT